CTGGTCTATCTGGTCTATCTGGTCTATCTGGTCTATCTGGTCTATCTGGTCTATCTGGTCTATCTGGTCTTCTGGTCTATCTGGTCCTATCTGGTCTATCTGGTCTATCTGGTCTATCTGGTCTATCTGGTCTATCTGGTCTATCTGGTCTATCTGGTCTATCTGGTCTATCTGGTCTATCTGGTCTATCTGGTCTATCTGGTCTATCTGGTCTATCTGGTCTATCTGGTCTATCTGGTCTATCTGGTCTATCTGGTCTATCTGGTCTATCTGGTCTATCTGGTCTATCTGGTCTATCTGGTCTATCTGGTCTATCTGGTCTATCTGGTCTATCTGGTCTATCTGGTCTATCTGGTCTATCTGGTCTATCTGGTCTATCTGGTCTATCTGGTCTATCTGGTCTATCTGGTCTATCTGGTCTATCTGGTCTATCTGGTCTATCTGGTCTATCTGGTCTATCTGGTCTATCTGGTCTATCTGGTCTATCTGGTCTATCTGGTCTATCTGGTCTATCTGGTCTATCTGGTCTATCTGGTCTATCTGGTCTATCTGGTCTATCTGGTCTATCTGGTCTATCTGGTCTATCTGGTCTATCTGGTCTATCTGGTCCTATCGCCTATCTGGTCTATCTGGTCTATCTGGGGTTCTATCTGGTCTATCTGGCCTATCTGGTCTATCTGGTCTATCTGGTCTATCTGGTCTATCTGGTCTATCTGGTCTATCTGGTCTATCTGGTCTATCTGGTCTATCTGGTCTATCTGGTCTATCTGGTCTATCTGGTCTATCTGGTCTATCTGGTCTATCTGGTCTATCTGGTCTATCTGGTCTATCTGGTCTATCTGGTCTATCTGGTCTATCTGGTCTATCTGGTCTATCTGGTCTATCTGGTCTATCTGGTCTATCTGGTCTATCTGGTCTATCTGGTCTATCTGGTCTATCTGGTCTATCTGGTCTATCTGGTCTATCTGGTCTATCTGGTCTATCTGGTCTATCTGGTCTATCTGGTCTATCTGGTCTATCTGGTCTATCTGGTCTATCTGGTCTATCTGGTCTATCTGGTCTATCTGGTCTATCTGGTCTATCTGGTCTATCTGGTCTATCTGGTCTATCTGGTCTATCTGGTCTATCTGGTCTATCTGGTCTATCTGGTCTATCTGGTCTATCTGGTCTATCTGGTCTATCTGGTCTATCTGGTCTATCTGGTCTATCTGGTCTATCTGGTCTATCTGGTCTATCTGGTCTATCTGGTCTATCTGGTCTATCTGGTCTATCTGGTCTATCTGGTCTATCTGGTCTATCTGGTCTATCTGGTCTATCTGGTCTATCTGGTCTATCTGGTCTATCTGGTCTATCTGGTCTATCTGGTCTATCTGGTCTATCTGGTCTATCTGGTCTATCTGGTCTATCTGGTCTATCTGGTCTATCTGGTCTATCTGGTCTATCTGGTCTATCTGGTCTATCTGGTCTATCTGGTCTATCTGGTCTATCTGGTCTATCTGGTCTATCTGGTCTATCTGGTCTATCTGGTCTATCTGGTCTATCTGGTCTATCTGGTCTATCTGGTCTATCTGGTCTATCTGGTCTATCTGGTCTATCTGGTCTATCTGGTCTATCTGGTCCTATCTGGTCTATCTGGTCTATCTGGTCTATCTGGTCTATCTGGTCTATCTGGTCTAGGTCTGGTCTATCTGGTCTATCTGGTCTATCTGGTCTATCTGGTCTATCTGGTCTATCTGGTCTATCTGGTCTATCTGGTCTATCTGGTCTATCTGGTCTATCTGGTCTATCTGGTCTATCTGGTCTATCTGGTCTATCTGGTCTAGTGATCTGGTCTATCTGGCCTATCTGGTCTATCTGGTCTATCTGGTCTATCTGGTCTATCTGGTCTATCTGGTCTATCTGGTCTATCTGGTCTATCTGGTCTATCTGGTCTATCTGGTCTATCTGGTCTATCTGGTCTATCTGGTCTATCTGGTCTATCTGGTCTATCTGGTCTATCTGGTCTATCTGGTCTATCTGGTCTATCTGGTCTATCTGGTCTATCTGGTCTATCTGGTCTATCTGGTCTATCTGGTCTATCTGGTCTATCTGGTCTATCTGGTCTATCTGGTCTATCTGGTCTATCTGGTCTATCTGGTCTATCTGGTCTATCTGGTCTATCTGGTCTATCTGGTCTATCTGGTCTATCTGGCCTATCTGGCCTATCTGGTCTATCTGGTCTATCTGGTCTATCTGGTCTATCTGGTCTATCTGGTCTATCTGGTCTATCTGGTCTATCTGGTCTATCTGGTCTATCTGGTCTATCTGGTCTATCTGGTCTATCTGGTCTATCTGGCCTATCTGGTCTATCTGGTCTATCTGGTCTATCTGGTCTATCTGGTCTATCTGGTTCAGACTCCACAAAGACGAATATCCTGGGAATCGGAGTGACGAGCTCCACGCCATCTCAAGAACAGTGGATTATCTTGAAGGTGATGCCGGGTAGTAACCAATCGCCACTGTCAGCTCTGGAGAGCGTTACGGAAACCCTGCTCAAAGCCAGGGCGGACTGCAGTGGGAGCAATTCGGTGAGTTTCCTTTGTCCTTTGTCTACACCTGATTTCAGCCGTTGCCTTACGACTCAAGCCATGAAATAGGGTCTTTACAAGATAAAATGCAACATTCTGATCGCCAGGACTGGATTTGACTGACGCAGAGTACAGACATGGACACTAAACTGCGATCTGCTTCATACCCGTGTGCGTCACATGGCGAATTATGGAAGACATGCTGTGCTATGGTTGACAAAATCAGTTGTCATAATTCTCAGAGTACACATAGAAGACAAGATACCACTGGCTCTGGGTATGATGCAACTCATGCTCATGGAGATCTTAGGGCGACTCTCCGGGTGCCGGTATAATGCTCACTTTGCTTACCCTCTTCAGGTTCAGTATCCCACAGAGTGTGACTATGAAATGCATGGTGTCAAACGTGCCATACATTGTACAAATTTTGATGAAAAGTGATGCACAGCATTTTATACTGTCTTGGATACTACTGTAAGTCGGGTGATTTCGAATTTATCTAATCTTAGCAAGCTTTAGTGACGGGAGTGTTTTTACTGGACTGTAGCCTCGCCAGAGAATTCTATTCCGGAGTTCAGCAATGATGCCCTACGGCTTCCCTCTGATTTACGGCTCCGGTTGCTGGATTTTGTCACTTCAAAATTGTCCTGGCTTGGAAATCGCTCGGGGTCCCCCAGAAAAATTACCCACAGTATAACGCTGCAGATACGGTACCTGCCATAGGGATTGGGGTGGATGTGTGCCTGTGAACAAATCAAGGCTTTTTAGAATCAGTGTCCATGTCATTAAGGTAAATTCATATCTCTGAAGAGGTTGTCATGAATGTCACCACATCATGAAGACTACTTACGATGTCCAACGACGACTCTGATTACCCAGCTGATGGCACGCGTACATTGTGAATCCGAGTATTCCCAATGTCGCCTCCATCTCATCATATAATTATACTCTCCTGCATGTTTGTCTCTGCTGCTCATCACAAACTACTTGAATCTGAACTTGTTTTCTTCTTCTCTGAATGCACTCGTTGCTAGCTGCCGAGATTTGTTTTCTTGTAGTTGCATCATTGCATTCCGCATGATCCGCGCTTGCATGATGCACGCACGCACACACACACATACGGTTGTGGTTGGCAAGTTTTGATTATGGTTGAAGGTGAAGTTTTTAGAAAGGAAACTGTGGTATGAGAATGAGTCTGATGAGTCTGTCTTCCCCTACCGTTCTCGACATGGTGCTGTGACCAGGATTTGGAACCAACGCGTCCAACAACTTTCGTTTTTTTACGATGGACGGAGAGGTTGAACAGACAACAACGAACGATGGAGAGGAGTCCTTGGATCAGACGACTGAGAAGCAAAGCACATCTCACGTCCTGGACCAAGTGGTTTACAACGACCTAGTCAAGAAGCGAGGCAGGGCCAAGGGAAGGGTGACGCGAGTAAGGAGGAGGATCGAACATGAACTCCGTAAAACGGAGGAGAAATTCGTTAGTCTGTTGTCACTTCAGAGTGATGTTGAGAAAATCCTACCCTTGATTGACACAGTGAACGACCTGTCCGAGCAGATTGGTACCCTGCTGGAGAACTGCGAGGCAGACGAGCGTGTGGAAGACGCACTAATTGATTTGGAAGCCTGGGATGATGGCTTTGACCACGAATGCACAAGTGTGTCGGACGCACGTGCACTACTCGACTATAGAGGGGTAGGGACACATTCACCAGTGGTGACGGAGCTTGCTGCAGAGGCAGCAACACCCCAGAAGGCCACCCGGCACGATACAACACAGGAGGTAGTGGTCGTGGACAGTGATGGGACGGACAGGCCCACGGGCGAACTGCTGGAATCAAAGGAATTGCCAGCAACAGGCACGGGCGACACGGAATCTGCTGCAGGCAGACTGGACAGCCCTAGCACGGGTGTGGAGGCAAGGCGTAGCACAATGTCCACAGGCACGGACATCAGTGCTACTACTCAGAACCCTGTGGCTCAGGCTCAGCATACGGATACAACACAGGCCCAGCCAACTGTCCCGACACCAACCAATTCCCCGGACATGATACAGGCCATGGCATTAGCGGCAGCCCACGCTGCAACCGCGGCAGCTGGCCTCAGTACTGCCCCACAGCCATCACGCCTCAACGTCCAGCTGCCAAAGCTGACTCTACCGTCCTTTTCTGGCAAGGTGATTGAGTGGCCAGAGTTTTGGGAGCGATTCCAGTCTTCCATCGACAACCAGCCCATTGCGGATGTCAGCAAGTTCTCATACCTGAAATCTTGCCTTTCCGGCGATGCGGCGAAGGCCATAGCGGGCATCTCATTGACAAGTGAAAACTATACCACCGTCAAGGATCTGTTGAAGACGAAGTATGGTTCAGCGGAGATCATCATTGCATCCCTGTACAGCCGTTTGGAAGCACTACCGGCACCACCCAACAGGCCCATGGAGATCCATCGAAGTTTCGAAACTGTGGAGTGTCTCCTTCGACAGCTGGAAACACAGGGAGAGAAGTTGGCAGATCAACGTCTCCTGTGCCAAAAGCTGTGGGGCAAGGTTCCACTCGAGGTTGCCACCAAGTTTGAGGAGTGGCGTGGTATCAGCAACGCCGGCCAGCCCTGGAAACTAACCACTCTACGAGAGTATATGGCCAAGTACACAACTCTACAAGAGCAACTCCGCCAGCGGACTGGCCAAGGCCCTCCGAACAAACCTGACGCTGTTGGAGTGCAGCCAAAGCAACTCTTTAGCACAGCGGATGCACTGGCAGCTCACCCTGATACCCAAGGACGACCACAACGTTCCCGTCGTGGTTGCATATTCTGCGATGGCCAACATATGGACAACGATTGCTCACGCTACACATCTTCTGCTGCCAGGAAACAACGATTAATGGAGCTACGTCGTTGCTTTATTTGCTTGGGTTCCGGTCACCGCAGCCAGGAATGTTACCGACGGCAAACACAGACCTGCCGGATGTGCAAGCGCCCAAGTCACCATCACCATACCATCTGCTCGCAGAGTCGCCAGCCATCTGGTGTAGGTTCGCATTCCACCCGACGAGCTGACGGTTCATCTTCCACGGCAGCGGTGGCAGCTTCTGACACTACAACCGCTACGTGCACACCCACTCAGGTTCCAGGTCAGGCAGTTGCTTCGGACCAGACAGTTGCTTCGGACCAGACAGTTGCTTCGGACCAGTCATCGTGTCTCCTGCAAGCAACAGGATCAACTGTCACACTCCAAACCGCCACAACGAATGTGCAAGGCAACAATGGTACAATCACCACCGCTCGCGTTCTTCTTGATTCAGGCAGCCATCGCACGTACTTCACGGAGGCTTTGGCAAGGCAGCTCTCCCTGCGCCATACTCGCCATGAATGGCTGTCCGTGTCAACCTTTGGTGCCACCAAACACCACACAGCACAGGTACCGATCTCCGACCTGTTCATTCATCTCAAGGATGGTACAACGAAGGCCATCGAAGGCAGCGTCTTACCGCACATCACAAACCCGGTTCTCCGTCCTGCGGTTGCACACCCCGACATCACGACCTTGCAGCAACTGCAACACGACAACCAGTTAGCTGATGCGATTAACGCCGAAGATGAACGGCTAAAGATCGACATACTCATTGGGTCTGATTATCTGTGGGACTTCGTGCAGGGCCATGTGCAACCTCTACCATCAGGCCTCAACCTTCTGCCAACCTCCCTCGGCTACGTGGTCACCGGCAAGACGGACACCTCTCCCACCACTGCCCTACCGGCAACCACTCTGATCGCAGCCGCAGCCGACGTTTCACACGAGGAGGTTCTGCCTCTTAAGCAGTCCATTCCGGATTTGTGGAGCCTCGAAACGCTTGGGATAGAGCACCCGTCTCCCGTGAAAGACGATGACGTAGCCTTGCAACATTTCCACTCAACAGTGGAGTGCACCGATAATCGCTACATCGTTCGCTGGCCATGGAACGGCCAGCAGCAGTTTCTCCCGGACAACTACGGATTGACGTTGGGCCGGTTCCGGACTCTATCGCGGCGGCTAAGCACCGACTCGTCACTACTTGAGCAGTATGACAAGGTGATCCAGCAGCAAGCCGACATGGGCATCATTGAGCAGATGACACCGGATTCTGTCACTGGTCCGCAACTCCATTATCTACCCCACCAGCCAGTTCTAACTCCAACGAAGACGACGACCAAGTTGCGTGTCGTTTATGATGCCTCGGCCAAGGCACGGCGTCACAACAAGAGCTTGAACAACTGTCTGCTACGTGGACCCGTGTTGCTCCCCAACCTTGCCGGAGTTCTTATGCGACTCCGCATCACACCCATTCTGCTGGTAGCCGATATCGAGAAGGCATTCTTGCAACTTGACATCTGGCCGCCAGACCGGGACGTGACACGCTTCCTATGGTATCGCGATCCAACTAATCCCACAGCAACTCCGGACAACATCGCGGTCTATCGGTTTCGGAGAGTACCGTTCGGCATCGTGAGCAGTCCATTTCTGCTAGCGGCAACAATCCAACACCATCTAGCAAATGATGAAGATGCGGATGTCGGTCGCTTAGTGTCCCGCAATACCTACGTGGATAACGTATTCATCGGTGTCGACACCCCGGAAGAAGGGTACGATATGTGCAACCGAACTACATCCGTATTCTCTCGCTCGTCCATGCGGCTACGTGAGTGGGCATCTAACAACAGCCACGCTACGACAGCTATGGATGCCAAGGAAAGGGCACAGGGCGACAGTGTCAACGTTCTTGGAATCACGTGGCACACCAAGGATGACAGTCTACAGCTCGCTTGTCCTCGAACCCAACCCAGCACCGACCCGGTTTGGACTAAGCGCGCTGTCCTGAAGTATGCTGCATCATTGTACGATCCATTGGGACTGGTTGCTCCGGTCACATTTCGTATCAAGGTCTTCTTACGCTCTCTGTGGCAAGCTGGTATGGACTGGGACACTGTCTTGACTGGACACCTACTGGACACCTGGCTGACCCTCCATGCAGCCTCGAGCGAGGTCAGCTCGTTATCGTTCCCCAGGCAAATCAACCCAATTGCTAATGGAACCGATGCTACCTACCAGCTACACGTCTTCACCGATGCGTCACAACTGGGCTTTGCAACTGTGGTCTACCTCCGCACAACCATAGCCATGATGACAACCTGTGAGCTCCTCTTCGGCAAGACACGTCTTGCACCGCTGAAGTCCAAGGACGGCAAGCCTAACGGTCTTACCCTGCCACGGCTGGAACTACTTGGCGTGACGATTGGTTCACGGGCAGCCCGATTCTGCAAAGATGAACTCGATCTCCCACTTACCAGCATCACCCTATGGACGGACGCGCGTTGTGTTCTGCATTGGATCAAATCATCCAAGCCACTGTCCGTATTCGTGGCCAACCGTGTGTCAGAGATTCGTACTTGCGGCGAGTTCTTGTCCTTCCGCCATGTTCCTGGAGAGTGCAACCCTGCTGATGTCGCTAGCCGAGGCGGTTTGGTGGCCGATCTTCAGGAGTCATGGTGGCACGGTCCGGACTGGTTACGTACCACATCAGATCACTGGCCAGACGAGGACCTCACACTCTCAGCTGACGAATCCGACCTAGCCAGCAAGGAGGAGCAAGCACCAACGCTTCATACCGCAAGCCTGGTGACTGGTGGCAGCGATCGTGCTACTGACCAACCTAGTCCACACACCATTCCATCTGGTCTCGGCAGCGTGCTTACGAGAGCAAGCAGTTTGAGGAAGGTCCTGAGAATCACTGCTCTGTGCATGAAGTTCCTGAAGAAACTGCGTCCCAACTCACCACGTCTCTCTCAGATCAGCAACAGCTACGGCATCGTGTCACAAGACATACAGGCTGCGCGAGATTGGTGGACTCGAATGGTACAACGCGAGGCCTTCCCTGACATCTTCAAAGCTATCAAGACCAATGCCAAGCACAGTTCAGTTGCTAACCTTGGTGTTGTGATCGACGACAACGGCATACTGCGATGCGCCGGAAGACTGAGCAACGCTGAACTACCAACTGACCAGAAACTACCGAAGCTGCTACCAACGTATCACGCGTTCACGAAGCATGTCATCAGCGAAGTCCATGGACGGCTTCTGCATGCAGGTGTTCGACACACCCTGGCCCAGACAAGGCAAGAGTTCTGGATCATACGTGGCCGTGCTATCGTTCGCCGTATCCTGGATCAGTGCTCGGTTTGCCGAAGACACGAAGGGCGTCCGTTCAAGTTGCCGTCCATGCCCCCATGGCCCAAGGAACGGATTACCAGAGCACTTCCATTCACGTACGTTGGTCTTGACTACCTCGGACCGCTATTGATCCGCACCGGCACGGAGAAAGGCAAGGTATGGATCAACCTAGTAACCTGCCTAACCACACGAGCTGTACACCTGGACATAGTCTCTGGCCTATCTGCAGCAGCCTTCTTGAACAGCATGAGACGGTTCGCAGCGAGACGAGGCAAGCCAAAGTCTATTGTGTGTGACAACGCACCCCAGTTCAAGTTGGTACGCTCTGTCCTAGACAATCATCTGAAGCTGATTCTTGCCAACCCAGACCTGCTATCGTATCTCTCAACGGAGAATATCGAATGGAGCTTCACAACAGAGTTTGCGCCATGGAAGGGCGGTGTGTACGAGAGGCTGGTGAGCATTGTCAAGAGAGCCTTGAGGAAGAGTCTTGGAAGGTGCCTCCTGACTCTAGACCAGCTCGCAACCCTGACAGCCGAAGTGGAAGGCATGATCAATACGAGGCCGCTCACATATGTTGACGACGACGATGTGTCCTCATTCTCACCCCTGACACCGTCACATTTCCTCTGTGGAGGAAGAACGGCAACCGGTTTTCAGACGGACAGCGACGAGGAGGACGGTCCGGAGACACCAGCAGCCAAGGTCACGAGGATGTGGAAACGGCAACAGATACAACTGGATGTAGCATGGAAGGTGTGGGAAGATGAATACCTCCCTGCTCTGCGCGAAGCATCAATGAGTCAACACCGACAGTCACAGAGTAGCATCTCTCGGACACCAACAGTCGGAGAAGTGGTCGTAATCCAAGAGACCGGCCAGCCACGTGGAAGTTGGAGACTCGGCAGAGTGGTAGAAATCTTACCTGGAGTCGATGGCCAAGTCAGAGCTGTCAAGCTGAAGACGGCTAAATCGAAGGCAGTGTTGTCGAGACCGATCAGCAAGCTCTATCCGCTCGAGCTGCACGTTGTGGATGACGTCGGAGCAGTGGAGGCTGGTGATATGGAACACCGCCCGGCACCGGCGACGGCTATGGAACAGGCAATGGCGGACGAAGCTGCTCCAACCATGTTCCAGCCTAGGCGGGCAAATCGCAAAGCAGCAGAGAAGGCCCGTGAGCGTATCGCAGAGTGGGTAAGATAACTTTCGTTGTCGGGAATGTCATGAATGTCACCACATCATGAAGACTACTTACGATGTCCAACGACGACTCTGATTACCCAGCTGATGGCACGCGTACATTGTGAATCCGAGTATTCCCAATGTCGCCTCCATCTCATCATATAATTATACTCTCCTGCATGTTTGTCTCTGCTGCTCATCACAAACTACTTGAATCTGAACTTGTTTTCTTCTTCTCTGAATGCACTCGTTGCTAGCTGCCGAGATTTGTTTTCTTGTAGTTGCATCATTGCATTCCGCATGATCCGCGCTTGCATGATGCACGCACGCACACACACACATACGGTTGTGGTTGGCAAGTTTTGATTATGGTTGAAGGTGAAGTTTTTAGAAAGGAAACTGTGGTATGAGAATGAGTCTGATGAGTCTGTCTTCCCCTACCGTTCTCGACAGAGGTAGGAACATGTCACTCGACTCTAATTCTTCTGCTTCTCTGTGTGCAGAGCAATTTCCTGCAAGTGGTGAGCACGGAGCTCCTGCCTTTCTCTTACGATGTCAACATGACAGACTCCTTCTCTACGCCGAACAAGAGCCTTACTAAGGCCATCAAGTAAGTCATGCCAGTTGATTTCAGTTCACCTCAAGTCACATTGCATGATCCTGGATGGGAAGTGTTAGGACGATATACACTGATCGCAATGGTACATATCACGTGTGTTTTACAGTTCCATCTGTTGTTATTCTCTATGTTCAGCTTGGGGTTGTGTCCTGTCAAACTGTGATCTTTTTTCCATTCGTGCTTTGGTGCAGGGGTGCCAGGCACAAAGCAAGGAAGGTGACTCGTGTTTTCTCGCACCAGGTACACCGCTTGGAAGGCCTGACGCCACGTCGTACAGGGTAAGCCAATACACACCGTCGCGATGTCTGTGCATCCAAGGTGGGAGGGGGGAGGGGACCTCACACGTGGGCTGGAGCGATATTTGACATTAGAAAAGAGCAGGCTGTGTTCAAGAGATAAGGCTATGCAATCTGCTGGGATGACAGCTACACCTTAGCTCAGTGGTCTGAGCATCGCTGGCCGCAAGCGAAGGTCCCTGGTTCGATTCCTGGTGGTGACAGTCAATTTTTCATCATATTTTTTCCTTTTTCCATTCCCTCGACTTTAAGGAACAATTGTGAATTGGTCATGGAAACAGTTAGTGGACGAGGTGGTGTGTCGGAGAGGGAAGACTTGGTAAAGTGTGTCTCCTTTTTCCTTGGAGACCTGTCAGGCACAGTGGTATGTTTGCATGTAACAGTTATGTATGCCTGGAGTGTAAGTGTTTGGGTGTGCATGTGACTCTGTGGTGCATGTGCATGTGCTGTGGATGTGAGTGTATGGGTGTGTATGGGTGTGCATGCGAATGTATGGGTATGCATGCGAATGTATGGGTATGCATGTGAATGCATGGGTTTGCATGTGGATATGGGGATGCCGCGGTGACTGTGTGCGTGTGAATGTCAATGTGAATGCATGGGCATGCATGTGGATGCACATGTGACTGCATGTGTGTGTGTATGTGGACTGTATGGGTATTTGATTGTGTGTGTACATGTATGCGACTGTGTCCATGTTACTGTGTGTATGTGCAGGTTACGGAGGTCCTATGCACCGCCATCCAATCTGCCCTCTCGTCGGCACATGGTTGTGGATTCAGTCAGTTTCGTCACCGACTCACCTGTGAGCTTATTGGTTTAATGTCAATTGTATGAATGAATTGCACCGTGTGTGTGAGAGAGGGAGAGAGAGAGGCGGGGGGGGGGGGGGTGAGAGAGAGAGAGAGAGAGAGAGAGAGAGAGAGAGAGAGAGAGAGAGAGAGAGAGAGAGAGAGAGGGGGGGAGAGAGAGAGAGAGAGAGAGAGAGAGAGAGAGAGAGAGAGAGAGAGAGAGAGAGAGAGAGAGAGAGAGAGAGGGGAGAGAGAGAGAGAGAGAGAGAGAGAGAGAGAGAGGGGGGGGGAGAGAGAGAGGAGAGAGAGGAGAGAGAGAGAGGGACAGGGACAGAGAGAAAAAGAGACAGAGAGAGACAGATAGTACATGTGCGTATATGTGCATGCCTTAATTCTCCTTCTCTTTCTTTCATTCACCTAGCTAGTTACCAACACTGGAAGTATGCGCTGTTGTGTGGTTGGATGAATACCAAAAGTAGGAATTTGCTTGGCGGAAAACGCCGTATAGTGCTGGTCAGTTCTCAAGCCTTGAAAACTGTTGAATGGTACAATCCCAGCACAAGTTGCTATACTGTTGTAGTATCACTATCATCACCCCTGCTGTTGGGTACCTAAGGTCGAACTAAGCTGTGCGTGTGTGTGTTGGGGGGGGGGTGAGTGTGTGTGTGTTCGATCGAGAGAGGGAGAGAGAGAGAGAGAGAGAGAGAGAGAGAGAGAGAGAGAGAGAGAGAGAGAGAGAGAGAGAGAGAGAGAGAGAGAGAGAGAGAAAGAAAGAGAGAGAGAGAGAGAGAGAGGAGAGAGAGAGATGGGCTTTGGGAGAGGTGTGACAAACCACTGGCAAAGAATATAATTGTGTTGCTCTCTTAACCCAACAGCAACTGGCACCGTCTGCATCAATGACTTCCATAAACTCACCAGGCATCACCAAAAGCAGACTCTCCGTGGCATACTCTCTACCAGAGGAGGCCGAAGAGAGCTGCGACCAGCCATGCATATCTTCGAGGGCAACAGCAGAGGACAAACATGACAAGTCAGACTGCCATAGCTGCTGCTCAGGTGTGTCGATATCACCAGCAAAGCGAAAGAACCACGCCGAGACCTGTGATGAAGATGATGACCCGCTTCAGCCCGGACAGAGTGGTTCTCTTAGCAAGCGCAAGAAGGAAAACGGCGGCTCAATGTCAACCTCATCATCCGTTGAGGAGTTCCAGAACCTGCCACTGACGTTTATTTGAAACTTGAAGGAGTACACGTGCGTCAACGTGTGGTGTTTGTACTCAAGCGAACAATTGCACTCTCTATATTCTACGCTGCGATAGCCTTAACCAGCCAAGACTTTCCGTAATTCGAACGTCATTATTTGCAGGATTCTGATGTACACTGTTAAATTGAGACTTAACCCTACGTTTAACCGAGCTGCATACTGCATACAAATTTTCTCTTTGATTTCCTTGACTACGTAGATACTGGTATCAAACGTCCGGAGAACTTCCGGAATTAGTAGGACGCTGTGGCGAAGCTTGAATATTATCCGCGTTTTGTTTTAGTGCTTTCTGTTTAGCCAGAATGGCAGTGTTATTGACAATGGAACCTTGCGAGTTTAGAATTTGTACATGTATTTCATGAGATCAGCAGTCAATTGGGACAAACCTGTACTGACTGGTCGAACCATGAGCTGAAATCCACAGGATATCCAGTCCAACCACACCTTTTGCGTGTACGACTTGTATGTCACTGTGTGTGGGGGGAGGGAGGGGGACATCATGAGAATAGGTGACATCAAGCTGAGGGGTTCCAGATTGTGCTGACATTTGGATCCACCACTTGCTTTAGAAGGTCCTGCACAACCACTATGACAGTAACTATGGCAACACAGAAATGCATTTTAAAGGCATTAAAAGTAAAATATGAGATAGGAAATCCGATGCATCCCTTGGAATATCTAGTGCAGCAGGTTGGTACAAAAGTGGGTGGAGAGGTGACACAGCTACAATTTGGCTCATACATGTACTAGTAGTGAAATAATTTTTCAAATTCAAGGTGACGAGTGGTGCTGGAACATCTGGCAAAACGCAATCGCTGAGCTGCAGAGTACAATCTGGCAATTAGTTCAACACTCACCATTAGGCATTACCTTTGTCAGCTGGCGCCCGGCTGGTGTACGGCTGGCGATACCTGGTATAGTGGGAAGCTACGCCAGACTTGGCTTGATTGCGACATACAGCACCTGCTGGACTAAGCAGGCAATTGTCTTCTTGGACGCAGCTGTCAGCATCGGCTTGTGGTTGCCTGTAGACTGAATATGGAGATCCAGTTGACTGCGGCACCTGTATTCATGGTGGACCATGTCGATGGAGGTGAACATGCACTTAGCGAAGTGGCCATAAATACAAGCCTGTCCACACACACTCTGAGCTGCAAAGTTACAGTCTGGAAAAGAGCTTCCCTTCTCTCAACATCACCATCAGCTTGTGTCTGGCGCTTGGTCGATAGCTGGCGATATCTGTTCTTTGCTGATAGAAGATGGCACAGCAGCTGTGGCTTGGCTCGGTTGCAAGGGGACGCACGTTCATTTCTGCTGAACTCATCAGGCAGTCTTCGATTCTTGGACATCCGTCTGGAGCTTGACTTGGGAGAATGCATTTAAAACTCCATTGCAGCTGCTCTTATTGTGGAGCAAGGGTGGTAAAGACACACCTGGTTTAATGGCGGTAAATACACACCTACCCACACACACTCCACTCTAACCTGAGGAGTTAAAAACTGGCACAGGGCTCTCTTCTCACCGCCCGATGATCAATTTGCGCCCACCGTCACTTGAGTCAATGCATGGCTGGTGATACCTGGTTTAGTTGCCCGGTATATTACGGTTCGCACTTTGTTCATAAACTGATAAAGCATGACAAAGCCAGGACTTCGCTCTTTGCGCTAAGCCTGCTACATGTATCACCATCCATGTATTGATTAGGCACCCGGCCAGGTGTAAACTGATGGTGGCGGTGAGAGAAGGGTAGCTTTTGCAAGATCGAGTGCAACTTTTATCTTCAATAGATTTGCACTTGCAGCTTGAGAGTCTAAAATGTGTGAGCAGGAGTGGATTTACCACCATGGAGGTGAGAGAACGAAAGCTCTTTGCTGGATTGCAACTTTGCACTCGCAGCTCAGTTCAGAGCGTTATGTGTGAGCAGAGTGCATCAAGTATTCAACTTCATTTCTCCAGTTGTGTGTTTAGTAGACGCTTTATCACCATTATTCTATCTCAACATTAAAAAAAATAAAAAACAGGAGCAAGATGCTTGGCCCTACATTCATAATCTGCTTCTATTCACAATATCAAATCAATCAAGAAATTGCGTTGGTCACCATCAGAAAAAGTAAATATTGATATTAAAACGTAGGAAACTATCGCACTGATGCGAATTTACTGTTACACTTGTTTCAGTACAGAATGGGTAGAGATCGGCTCACTGGAATAAAACAAAGGCAGGCAGGCCCCTGGCTATTATAAGGTGAACATGTACAGTGGCACTGCACTGATCATGCCAGCACAGGACAGCACTGAATGTATGTACATGATTGCACTGCAGATATACCACTGGCATAGTTGATGAAGCAGGGCGAACCCTGGGACCAATCCTACTAGTACTGCGCTACATAGAGCGTATTATACATATACACTGATCCATGCACATGAACATGCATGAACCGATCAGTGTATGAGCTTTTGTTTAAAGAGTCCATCAGCCTGCCGATGCCGTGCTGCCGCCAATTTCACAGTTGTCCAGCACTGACCCAATGAGAACACAACTCTTCAGATGTAACATTGGAATTTGGAACACGCAAACACATGCGCACCCTGAAGCAGCGCTCATTTCGCACTGTCCGCCTTCAGCTCGTCTCGAACTTCCATCAGTGCTTTACCCAGCAAGTTCTGTCCTCGCCAATTTCGACCAGCCATGGCGTCCTTCACACTAACTCCGATTCCCCATATGCAGTCAGAAGGCGACGCTTCAGCCAAAGTGCTATTGGCTGTATCCATGAGGACCCGTTTGATGGCAGGATTCTGTTGCACCTTGAGACGAGTGCCCTGCAGCACAACGTCGTATTTGTGTTCGTCCCATTTGGCTTGATCCCACGGCGACACCCGCCTACCCAGCGCCTTGCAATCACGAGGCGCCTTGGCTGCCATGATCAGATCCAGTTGTTTCTCATCACCCATGAGCATAGCCTTGTTCGCCATCATCCATTGCTCTGCCCAGACGTAACGCCGGCCCTCGTGCTCAAACGGAGCTGCGTAGAACTGACTGAACTGTCCGTACGGTCGGTCTCGGGCATGGCCATAGAAATATATTGCCTTGCCTCCATCTCTACCACGGACACCAGCACTGGCAGCAGCAGCTACAGCCATTGCTTTTCTCAGTTCTCTTCAGCTGCAAAGCGAGCTCACTGATCAGTGATCACCAATAAACTAATTATTTTTATTTTATAGCTGCTTCATACTGTCCTTGCTTTGCTGACAGCAGCAAACTGCTGCAGCTAGCTCAGTCCTCAGCTCGCAACAAACAAAGCAACGAGTCTGTCACTGGTGTCAGAATGACACCATACCGGTAATTAGCAATAATTATTATTTCAACGAAACATGCAATCAAATTTTTTTTAAATCATGACACAACATGACAAAGCGAAAGTGCCATAAGTGGACTGCATACAGCGCGCGCGCCCGCCGTCTTGGCCGACATGTCGACCAATGCCGACAGGCGACACCGAACCCAGAGTCGTGGTGTGTACAAAATTTATGGACTCAACAAGTCAGTACGTCCGGCTAGTATGCAAGCCATGGAGTATGATACCGGTATTGGGCGCGGTACCGGTGTAGTATCCCTGCTTTACAGTTTACACATGACTAGTAGTAGATCTACATGTATTTTGCATGACTCTTATTGTTTAGAAGCATACAGTACTTCCGACATTTACGATTGTTCTTCCATGATCCTTGCATGGCGCCACTACACACTGGAGAGTAGCTAGACCAACACTAATTATCAGTAGTCTTCATTGTTTCCAAATACAATACTTGTGCCGCTATGTTTCATTTGCAAGAGGTCCTTGTGCAGTTGTATGGACTTATCTTCACTGCGATATCAGTTTCATGCTCCAATGCTTCCTTTGTAGCACTGAGGCGCGCTGCGATAATCAATGGCATTTCCAGATTGCTTGCTACACTATCACATACATTCTTTAGCTGTTTTGCTGCCTGCTGCTTGTTTCCCGCAATAGACACCAGCTGAAGCTTCCTAGCTGGCCCCCTTGCCAACGGCCTTGTTAGATTCTGTATAAGTTCTCTAGTTTGCATCTCATACGGAAGAGTAGAGATCAGAGAGAGAGCAAGTTCACTTTCACTTTGATAATTATAAGATAACCTCCAGGCCGTGCCGGTGTAAGTTCTGATACGTTAGTTGACTGACTGTGGGTAGTAGCAAGAGTACATAACCGGGGTTATGTACTCTTGGGTTATGTACTCTTGGTAGTACGAGTACATGTAGCCTCCTAGCCTTAGATCACGCACGTTACACCGGTATATCATGTATACCGGTAATAAATACCAAGAGTTCATAACCCCCAAGTAAAGAGAGAGAAAAGAGTGGCATGAACTCTTGGTAATACGGTGAACATGTAGTGTAGATCTCACATCAGTAATAAGAGACAAGGAAGAAATGGTGAGTTTGGAAAGAATCCAGAACTCACTACAATGTAGTAAGAGAAAATGAACAAAAAGGGGAAGAAAGGAAGCAAAATATGCGAAAGCGAAGTGTAGATGAACGTTCAAGATCCATTCCCAGCGCCCACTATAGAAAGCGGAGATCTACACTCCAGTACAGTACTGTACTTGCAAGTATAATTTTCTACATAACGACGGATTTGCCCCTTCTGTTCATGTCTTGCCTCGCTCTACTAAGGGGCGGCTCTAGTAATGGTTCATGAATCCGCCCAGTCCACATTCCTTCTCCGTTTCTCTCCGTTTTCTTTCCTTTCAGTTGCATCTTCCTTTCTGCTCTGTTTTACTTTCTCTTTTATATTATTATAACATCTCAAGACTCGGTGGAAACACCGGCCAATGAGAGTGGGTGATTGCCAACCACGGCGATAAATAAAAATAAGGGGAGGGAAAAAGAAAGAGTAGCAAAATGAACAGCAACAACAACTCTTTTCGTTCGTCCCTCTTGATATTTGTACTTTGTACTGTTGAGGCAACGAACTGAAATAATAGAAACCAAACCTATCCAAACATGTCATGTCAGTGTTATCAGGCAAGAGTTTTGCCTCCATCTTGCCGCTGGCTTTTCCTATGCCCGGCCATAGCCCTGGGAGAATCGAGAGGCGTTGCGAGTCTCTGGATTGTGCGGTAGCAGTTAGCGTGTCCTTTGGCCATACTGATTACTGTGACGAAAGAGCAAGTACACTGCACTGCAGCAGGCTCTCCATACACTTTTGTTGACAAAGACCTTGGCCGGATGCAGTATAGCAATGGTTGTGGTTTCGATGAAGAGATTCCACCTGGCAAATCTCATTAGAATGACGTGGATCTAAAATTGCGATTGACGTTCCGCTGTAGCTGTATGCAGCACATGTACCGGTAATTCCCTAAACTGATCAGGTCACACATTATTGTATTACGCCCGACCACTGGTGCTCACCCACCGGCCTTCACACAAGATGGACTCACTCATGACTCCTCATGTCATGTTCAGCCTGCTTCCCGCCAGAATCAAGATACTACAAAAAAAGTAGTATTCGAGTGGTTCAGATTTCTCTTCCCTATACTCTTTGGCTGTCTTCAGATAGTGAACCCCACTATGGCCCCCTCTCCCACCCCTGCCACCGCGGGGGCCCTCCGCAATATTCCATCCACGTGACACCAGTGCATTGCATGTACTGTATAATGCCCAAGTGCAAGTAAGACTAAGAGCTACATGTGCACTACAGAACCTTTCCATCCATTCCTTGACTGTGTGGATGGTGAAATGCAAAGACTAGTATTAAAGTGTGCTAGTGAAACTAGAACATACATGTACATGACACATTGTACAGTCATAGTCATTTGTACTGTAGTGTGTCTGTCATGTACATGTACTAGTGCTTGCTTCTACTAAGCTTGAATCGAATTAGGTGAACCTACTCGGTATCCTGACAAATATGGCTTGGCTATTCGATTCTTGCCGGTCTCTTCAGCCAATCGGCAATCCCACTGGGGGGTGGTTTACTGCTGAATGGGTGGATGTGTAACTTTGGACAGACAGCACATGTACTGTCAATAGTCTAAATATGACCAGGAATCAGGGAATCAGGCCGTCCTCCACTGTCCGGTGAGAACTATTTTCAGTACTGCATGTGCTGTACCGGTATTCGAAGTATTGCCTCACATAGGGCAAGGGGGTCTGATTGCATGACGGCAGCAGATCCACACTGCACTCCGATCCGACCGGTCGACCAGAATGCGCTTGAACAGTGCACGAGATTGCAGCATGGCAGCACTTGCACACGTGACCACAAAGTGTAATGGAATTATCTTCGTAACAAAGACAATACTGTGCCACATCGTAGTTTTTGTGGTGATGCTGACGAAGTGACGATGCAGGTTCGATTCAGTGAGCCTGATATACTGAGGCTAATATGCAAAGATCAGGATGCCAATGATGGATACCACTATCGTCCTCTCATGTACATGTGGTGTATGTACAAATGTACATGTCATTGTGTAGTCTGCTTCTGCTAATGCGTGTGATAGAGCTAAAGACTCAGTAAAGAGTGACTCTTGAAAGCAAGAGAATATTATCAATATTGCACTCATCCACAGTCTAGTCAGTTGTGTATATTGGTTTTCAATTTAGGTCCGATTCGTTCATCACCCTGGGCCTGGACGGTTATGGCAAACCATCTAATCTGGCTGCGTAACAGTATTATGACGATGTGTATCTTATGGCAATGTCATGTAGTCTACTATCATTACGTCATTAGTCTATGTGATGTCATTACGTCATTAGTCTATGTGATGCTATCATCAAGAGGATGCATCAGTGTATAAGCTCCCGGGAGCTTGTTTACTCTTGGAAAACATTAGAAATGCAATCTGCATGTACACAGGATTGATAGGCAGCGTTAACAACACCAGTATTGTGAATCCTTTAAAATATCACAAAAAAACAAACAGTGGCACATCATGATTTTGGAAGACGACAGATGTACCTTGGACAAATGTAGCATGATGTATTAAACTGGTTGACAATGCGACATACTGCCATTGCCAATGGGTTGTGTTGCATGGCTTAGCAGTGACCCCAGACCACAGAGCACAAGGCTATTCCCCCAGCCAGACCATGGATTAGAAAAAAAACATCCTCAAGAATGAGGAATGAGGTCGAGGGCTTGAAATCAATGATTTACCCCGTTCGAATGTTCGGAATGGTCAGCTAAAACCCTACCGATGGCCATAGTAACGTGATAGGCATGAGTATAATAAGCCCCCAGGGTTTTACTCTTCTGTATAGGTCTATCCTCAGGCTGCATGGACACTGTATGAAGCTTCAAGGTATGGCATTCAAGATCACGTGGTACATGTACAGTTTACTACACACAGCATACAGTAGGAAGGGAGGAGTGTTTTTTTTTATAAAGTAGTTGCAACTCCGAGTTTTCAGGTAACTGGTGTTCTGGAAGTGTGTGTGTGTGGGGGGGGGGGGGGGGGGGCGAACAGTACAGTATGTTTATGTTATAAATAGACGACTAATAGACGACGTGTGATCAATGCATGCATTCGGCTTGTATCCTTGCTTGGTATGATGGGTATCCACCTGTCCTTTCAGCTACACTGCACGAGTTCAGCTACACTGCACGAGTCGTATCTGTATGTACATGTACAATGTACATGTACGTGTCAGTGTCTGCATGCACATGATCGTGCAGCATAAACAACTGACGTAATTTGCATTACAACTGCGCGGTGCCAGTGGCGTCCTCGTCAATACCCTGCCTTTTGTTCTCCTCCTCGAATCAAATCCTGCACCGGTGTCTTCAGGCGACGAGGAATAATATTATCTGCTTGCTTCACCGAGACAACAACAAGGTCGTCATCTGCACCAAACCATGTAACAGCTACAGATAGTACAGTGCAAGTGATGGAGAAAGCAGATAATACGTAAACATAGCAATGACTGTATCCCACAGAGAACAGAACACGGTACCGGTAGTCAGTAGTCACACGCTGCTCCGGCTTCCCGCTGTGTTATCATGTCTTCCACTTGCCTTGGTTCTGTCTTCCCGTTCCGTTCTGCGCTGGACTGTGCACTTCAGCATATTTAAAAGTAAAAAAATAAAAAAGTCACTCTGACTGCAATGATCAGGAATGACCGTTCTATTCCCCCTCCGGATAAACTATTCGAGTTACATACTCATAGTCCAATGTGAATACGTTATCCTACCCTCGGGCTACAATTGTACCAATACTTGAAATTGATCCTTTCGAGGACGACCCAAGCCACTTCCAACATACACACACATCCGATGGACAGAGAGCATTGAACAAAGCTTATACTAGTTATAGTGATATTAACAAAGCTTATAGTTATACATGTACAAGCGTGCCTTTCTGGATCGGGAGCGACGTTCAATGCATCCTGAACACGAGGGTGGTCCAGTCCAGGGTGGACGATGTGCCTGTTGACTGAGTGTTGTATTGCTGTCTGGGCAAAGTAACGTTAAGTTGCCATTCACTGCGTCTTGAACATGTCACCTCACCCAGTCAGAGGCGTGCATGCAGTGGACAATACAAGCATTGATTTAAGAATATTCTGCGTGCATTCTGGCACCACACGATCAGTGATAAAGCAAGGTTGAAGTTGCATAAATGCGATCATCCCCGGCTGACTCAGTGAGTAAGGCTATAGCCACTGAATTGAAGCTAGTGATTTGCTTGCGAACTTGACCAAAAACGTATCATCAGACGCTCAAGGTTGGGCAATTGAAAAACACTTTCCCATGACTTTCGGATAGTCATGGGAAAGTGTTTTTCAATGTGAAAAGTTTCCACATGAGCACCGCCACACCTTGAATCATGGACTCCCTCGACGAACGAAGACAAGTGTTCATCGGCTCCAACTCCACATCCGGAACGTCTTTCACCTACTTGCTACAAACTCTCGTGTGCTTTTGCATGGCTGACTGGGCTTCCTCGAAGGCTGCTACTGTTGATTGTGTATGTACATTGATATACTTGTAAACATGTACTCGCATTCTGTATTGAAATACATACACTAAAAATAGGAAGATGTGGGGCACTCTGATCAGCTTCATGGGGGCACCCACCCCTTACATCATGCATGGATGCACTGCATCATGCATACACCTTCGCTTTGTTGTCTTCCCACACTTGTTGTCGTAACGAGTCTGAGCATGGACAACCTTAACACGCAATGCAAAGTTTAAATGGCGAACAGAACTTGAGGATTCAAGGGACGCGGATTGCGGGGAGAATTGGCGCCAGCGGTCACCACAATTGGATATCTCGCAGCAGAATCACCCTCTAGTCTAAACGTCTTTTAAAGTAGGTGATGAGGATCTACTGATAGTGATAGTACTGATAGTACTGAGTTTACGATCATTACTTGCAATAATACAAGCTCTTGCGATAGGCACATGTTTATAGTATAGTTGGAGAACCATGTCACATTGTATCACCATCAATACAAGAGTACTCTTGCGATCATCTACTAGGGCCTAGGGGCCTAGTTAGAGTCGCACATAGGGTCTCATGCTGGTCACGAGGTGCTGTTCAACTTCATACGCTGTATTATTGTTCCCCACCCATACTGCAGTACTGGGAGTGGACAGCTCTCATCGAGGTGCGGCATTTCACCACTCCCATTCCCAAGTCCGGTTCGTTCTAGATCATACCTACGGAGAAATCTGAGGCGGAAGCCTTCCACGTCGCGGCCTCCTGTCCAGTACAGACCCGACACGTGATGTGAATGGTAAGATACGTGATTCCATGGTGTACGATTAGAAGTCAACGTGTCGTGTTGGTCGAGTTCCGCTGACAGTGCCAATATCGGTGACCACATGTGTGTGATAAAAATGTCATTCAATTTTGGGAACTCTCCACAAGGTCTTAAACGAAATCTGTCACAGAGTACTGGGCTTAATAGTTGGCACATAAATACAATAACCGCTCTCAAAGACACATCTATCCCCTCAGGCTGTGGCAGGATCAACACGCAACGATCCTGCGGTCTTACTCGAATTTTAAAAGTAACTTTGATCGCCAGCACGAAGAGCATTGCAGGCAGAGATCGACAGAGACGGGCAGAAAGAGGCATGCGTGGCAACAGCGCAAGTGGTGTACAAAACTGCACTGATCTACCGGTATGTCGTAATAACAAAAGATGATCAAAAACAAACTAATCATTTAAAAAACAACGTGATTGTGCATGAAACTATATCCACATGCGCACACATGCGGGACCAATACAAGACTTGTCGCGCGAAAACAAACTCTTCTTCGGTATGAAGGGCAATCCAACATTTACGTGGCGCCTAAGCAATTTGAGATTGATTCGGGAAAGTAGATGCAAGTGCTTGGAAGAGGAATACTTGTTCAGCAAACAGGCCCTTAAACGTTCAATACTACTAACAAGCATACAGCTGTGCTTGAAGGAAGAGAGCTGGAGGCAATGGTCCGGCACTAGGGTGACCCATACTGTTATAGAGGCACATACTGACTGAGTGTACGTCGGTAACACTGCAGGATTATGCAAATCATGCATTGTCTAATTGCTACAAGCTGGGAGCTGGGCGAGAGGGCTGTGAGTGATGGCCCTCAGATAGGTCCTATTTTCTCAATGCAGCTTATAAAGCTTAGTGACATGGCACTCAGCAGAGGTCCTCAACAGCACCTGGAGGACACAAGTGCCTTCAAGTAGGTAAGTAGAAGAGGCAACAGAGTCGGAGAGCAGGAGAAGACAACAGGCTGTCTAGTGCACGCGGCTACTAGTATTGCTCACTCTCTCTTGCTCTCTCTTACTCTCTCCATCCCCAGAAGTGGAACTGGCGCTGTGCCTGGGTTTTCACCAGCCACTAACCTATTTAGAATAACACACGGGCTAATCAGAAGCCTGAAGATGTGCTGTGCAGAATACTAAGTAAGGTTTTGCATTTGGGACTGTAACGGAAGTGCAACTAAAACACAATCACTAAATTATGGTTAGTTAGGTGCACAGCAATAACAATCTTCTAAAACCCAACCAGTAGCAACATCCAAGAAGGTAAGCAAAACAATGGTGTGTACTGTGTAGTCAATTTACGCAGTACTAGCATCTCAGTGTGTGCTGCATCCTGACTGTAAAGGTGTTCTCTGGAAGAGTATAGTGATGGCAGCAGTCTGGCATCCTGTTGCTATGGTAATGATCACCTGACCATCATGCCTTGCATGAGTACTTGTATTGTACTTGTAGAAGACCAGAGTTGGAGAGGGAAGGAGTGTGCCTGGTCCAAACTATAATCAGAATCCTATCAATTAGTCTGAATTAGTCTGAATTAGTCTGACATTGCCACTCATCCATGTCAGGAGATTGGGAGGACACGGGCATTGGGCCACGAGCTGAGGCGCATGCACCATCCAAAAACAATCTGCGCCAATGGTTAGTGCAACATGGCTTCTATGCCCTCACACTCACTAACCACACATTAGGCCAATGCCAATGGCAATGGTTGGAGGCTGTTGCCGGACAGACCATGCAGGGCAAGAACTGCTGTGTTGAAGGATTTTAGGCATCTGTACTGTACCTCCAGGTCTCTGCAGGCTTGGGCTAGCTCCCAAGATCTATGCCGGGATAGAGTCCGGTTTTTCAGGAGCCCATCTGAATGGATAGATGCATCCATGAAGCACTTGTGCCCTCCTGCTTGTGTGTCCATGCTTAGTTAGAGGCTGGTGAATCAGCTGGTTTGCCTAAGAACTGGGCCAGGACAGGTCATTAGAAGCTTTGATCTCTTCAGGACACAGGCATGGATTACGATCGGGAGTGCGAGGAGACAAGCTGACCATGCCACTGACTGCACTCTCAGTATGTGCTGCTGATGATATGCTTGTAAGGTTGTCTGTGACTGGGTGACTGATAACAGCCACTGGGGAGTCCAGTCCCACTGGCCACTCCATAGCAGACAGCGAGTACAGTGCATCTAGGAGCTGTATGTCAGTATATTGTCCATGGATGATCGGATACATGTCCCAAACTGCCTTTCCCGCTAGCAGCATCCGGACAGTAGACTCTCTACTACTAGTACTAGCACAGATTCAGTAAGTCCGTATCAGTGTTACTAATGAGTCCTGCCAGCAGTGCTCTACCAGTCGCCTCTATTCACCAGCGACCGTTCTGAATTGACAGCAGTCACTTTATCTCTGGCTAGCTCAGCGTTTGAGCGGGAACACTTAATGTCACACGGCGATACGCACAGAACACGAGGGACTACTAGTAAGGAGCTCTCTGGTCCGAATACGACCAATACTGGCAATCGACTCTGACGTGACGTGACCAAGACAGACAGCCTATCTACGACTTGCAGTAAGACTACCTCCCAGTGCGCATGCGAGTGGCTCGCGTCCGAGCAACAAGCAGGAGGGATCAGCTGAGGCGTGTGAACGGACAGCCCCATCAAGATTGCACTGTCGATTCTCACTTATTAGCCGCAGTTTCGCTAGTCGAGCCTGACAGGTCTTTCAGGACGACAACGTCCACTCTGCATGTGAACGGCCTCCTGCCTGCTACCCTTCTGAACCTCCTGCTGCTGCTACCATTTCCGTAGCGTTTGCCCTCACATCGCGGCCAGAGCACCTGGTCAGCGGATGGTCACAGACACCACCAGGCGAATATAGGCGACTCTCGTCGTATAAGAAGGCAAAGGTGCGGTCTTCAGGGACAACTGAAAGGTGCTCTTTCATTTGGACAAAGTCAACGGTTCATTTTCTCTGGAGCCGGGGAGAAAAATTCGTCCAGCGAAATTTCCGGCACTTGATTTGTCGTTTTCTGGCAACCTTGTGCTGGACACGGTCGGGTAGCCATGATGACGGTACTAGGCAACAAGATTCCGGCATTACTCATGGCTAGATCTACGTGTGGTGTCTTGCTGATGATGTGCCTGAGCTGCTGTGTGACTGTGACACGCGTTGCGGCGACGTGCCGACGCGTGGACGACACATCGCAGGCTGGACCGGGTGTCGTGTGTCGGCTGGCTTGCCGAGTTCCGGAGGAGCGGCCAGTGAACACGACAATCGTGACGGTGGGACAAGAGCTACAGCTCGACCTGCTCACCATCACATGGAGTTTTGAGATCACCAGTGAGACAAGCAACTCGAGTCGTGCATTGCGTGTAGCTGTCAATGAGGAGGATGGAGCCCTGATCCTACAGGACACCGTGGACTATGAATCTAAACCTACACCTGTGGGTGTCACGCGACTGGTCGTCATGGGAACACCAATTGCAACCAGCCAACCACTGCAGATACTACCAGATAGAGCCAGTGACACAACATGCACTGTGGATATAGAAATAGTCGACATCGACGACAACCAACCGAGAGTCGACTCTAGCTTTCCCCGAAGCTTGACTGTTCGAGAGGACATGGCGGTGGGAACAACGATCGCGATACTACCCATCGTCGATGAGGACAGTGGTGTCCTGGGCCAGTGGGTAATAGAGCGTATTCCGATCGGTACCGGCCAGGACGTGGTGATACGAGACCCCGCATTCCGCGGAATCGGCACGTTTGACATCAACAATCACACCGGCGAAATCAGGCTCATCTCGGAATTGGACGCCGAGACTCAACAAGTGTACGGCGTAGCTTTCATTATCCTGCCAGTGGTTAGGGATCCATTGCAGCCATTTCCAGCCACAGAGATCATGGTCTTTGTGGAAGATGTTGACGAATTTGCACCTGTGATCGAGATTTCACCATTGATCATCCAAAATATCACCTTTTTCCCCGTAAGAGATATGGTTCGCGAAGCGCTCCCAGTATCCCAGATCGTCTTCCAGGCTACTGTCACAGATAGAGATGTGGACTCAAACACAAACTTCACTGTGCATAATGCCTTTGGAGACTTTTACACCGAGCGCGTGTTCCCAACCTCGGATGTAAGCTGGTTTCTGAGGGCCAACGTGAACCTGGACAGGGAAACGCGGAGCCAGTACAATCTCACACTGCTTGCTAGTGACACAAACCCGAACAACACACTTCACACGAGCACAAACTTCACAGTGTCTCTCATCGATTCCGACGACAATCGGCCGGAGTTTAGCCAAGAGCTGTACGAAGCCAGGCTAGTGGAGACGACACTCGTCGGCAGCCCTGTACTGCAACTGCAAGCTAATGATCCTGATCTAAGGGACTACGTGTCTTACAAACTGGACTCGATTCTTGTCCGAAACCGTACAGGCCAGCAAACACTGCCAGCTTCCATGGACATTAACTCAGTATTCAATATCAATAGCACCACAGGGCTGGTGACTCTGGGACGGCGGCTGGACTTTGAAGAGTTGGGCAGTGTGACGTTCCTTGTCGTGTTCACCGCCATCTCCAGTCGCAACCCAAGCAACAATGGTACATCAACAGCACTCATCACACTGTACGATGCCAATGACGAAGCACCCACGTTCCTGCAGACACACTACACATTCCAGGTGGCAGAGAACGGTGAGGGGCAAGAACCAGTAGGACAGCTGGAAGCCGTTGATAGAGATCCGGGCAAGAACGGGAAAGTGTTATACTCAATCGAAGACACAGCACGGCCTGATGAATCGCGAGAGTTCAGTGTACACCCAGACACAGGACTGCTCCTTACAGTGGGTGGCTTCGACAGGGAGACACAAGCCAGCTATTCCTTTCTAGCCGTGGCTACGGACGATGCAGAGGTAACTACAGATCGTCTTTCTGGAGTTGCACAGATTACCGTGATCATCACAGACCAAGATGACAACCCACCGGTCTTCACAAATCCACCAGCAGAGATACTCGTAGGCCAGGAGTCCGCACAGGGTCAGTTGCTATGGCAATTCAACACCACAGACGCCGATACCACGCCGAGCGAGGTCTCGTTTCGCGTCAGTTCACAGAAGAACAGTCAGAGTGCAATCATCGCGTCACACTTCACCATGAGCAACGACGGACGGTTGACAACACGCCGGTCCCTGGCCACATTGTCAGTCAACGTGTACACAGTACTGATCCATGTGCAGGAGACGAACGTTCCCACGCTGTCCAGCACGGTGCAGGTCAACTTGAACGTCACTGTCACAGCCCCGCCAGAGGCAAGCACGGGAAGTTCTGGCATTGACCTGACTACTATAATCATTGTCATCGCATGCGCTGCTCTACTGTTGATCATCATTGCTGTTCTACTGGTCTATGTGAATATCAAACGCAAGAAGCGCAGCATGGCCATCATTGTGCACAGCCAGCCCAGCAAGAATGAGCTCATCTTCCAGAACAACATCAGCGAGGAGCAAGCGTACAAAACGCCACACTACACACACGGCCCGCGGCCAGCGTCGCTAGTCATCGGCTCAACAGACAGCACTACATACATGAACTCCAGCGACCTGCAGGGTACCACACCCAGATCGGATCCGGACGGTTCAGCCTTCACGCCAGGATCGTTCACCGAAGCACCGTTCAGCGTGAAGTCGCGCATACGCTCCGGCATCTACGAACCAGGAGCGGCCTCGGACAACACGCCGTGTTCTAAAGAGTCGAGCCGTGCGGATTGGGATCGACGCATGAGTGTTCGTACTGCCTCGACAATGGTCGAAGAGGGAGGCTCAGTATCTTCATGCTCATCAGCCATGCATCACACTGGCAATGCACTATCCACAGTTGAACCGTCGCCTGACATTGAGCACGCCCGCCAGCGAATGCATTCTGAGTCATCCGACGGCCACTCATCGTCCCCACCTACACTCTACTCAACTGTCGGATCGCCAGGATCTCAGCGAGCAGCACTAACAGCAGCCATGAGTGCCTCACCCCGTATTGGACAGGGTAGAAGGAGAGTGGTGTCGGAGTCATACGACGGACCAAGGTCATACAGTGCCTACGCAGAGAGTCGCAAGACTCGCTCTCCGCCATCTGCATATCAGCAGACAGGCAGCGGCGTGTCCAGATCTGCTCTGTCCAACCCGGAAGACCGTCGCTCGCCAATGTCGTCGAGATCACATTCAGTGCGCTACAGCTCCACACCACCCAGTTCAGCCCAGGGCACCGACCCCACAGGGCAAACACCCTGGCAGCCAGTATGCTACAAGGCACCGATAGCTGCTTCGGCCGCAGCTAGTCCCCTGGTCGGGGACTTAGCACCCGTAGCTGCCCAGACCGGTTACAAGGCTTCACCCATCAGGCAACACTTCACACAGAACACCATAGAAGACACTGAGCAGGACGACACAGAGAGCTCTGCTGCATCTGATGAGCAGTGCACTGACGATGAAATGCGTTTCTATCCCTCTGGGCTTCGGCCGCAGAACAAAGGAGCAGCTGAAGGACATGGAGCCTCGCAGAACCAGAGGGTATATAATTCCTCTCTGCAAAGTCAGCATGCTGACCTTCAACGCTTGGAAAGTCAACCACTTTGAGTGCGGGACTGTCTTTCAACCCACTTCAGCAAAGAACGAAAAGAACCGAACAGAATGCAATGAACAGTTTTCATTCTCATATTGTGAGGTGTCTCTTTTAAAAATAAGATTCTAAAGCTAATATAACGTAACTTGTTTTGTCAACCTTTAAATAATCAGACCATAACCACCTGCATTTCCATTTTCCAAATCCGCATAAGGTAATACGTGAATCAGATTCATCATTTCTGCAATGTCACCAATATTTCCTTGAGATTGCCACATCGTTTTTATAGTCACCTATTCAAATTTCCAATATCACCATAATAATTATGCTGAACACCCCAGCATCTACATACAGGTATACCACGTGTAATCACTCTCTGTACACATGGCTATCAATTCTTTGCAGAAACATTTCGAACTTGAACCCTGAGAAATATAGCACTATTTTACACAAGAACAATTGAGGTTTGTGTGCACAGTGAACGTTAGGTGAGGTTTGGTTTGGCTTGGGAAGCTATTCTTGCATTCTACGAGGGGCCAGTGATACGCATGCAGAGCCGGTGTGTGGTGAACAGCGACTGACAGCGACTGACAGTGCAGCAATCATGGTAAGTACAGTGCTGGCAACTGAAATCCGACCCCTGAGCGGTGCGTTCACATTCTAGCGGTCTCTTTTTCCGTAGTGTTACAATCCTGTGTTGGGTCTTTGCGATGTGAGCTCTCAGGGGTCGGATTTCAGTTGCCAGCACTGTCCATGTAGTGCACATGTATTGCTAATAATGTTCAATGAGCAAGCGCTGTGTGATATGAAGCCAACAACCAACTTAGTGTAACATAAAAAAAAGAGAAGAAACACATGAGAATGAGTTATGCAGCAACTATCCACGACTGTAACAAGATGATAAACAACCAGAAAGTGCGATAATAGCATAACTCGTTCTCATGTGTTTCTTCTCTTTTTTTTATATTTATTACTGGCTCAGTATCCGAGCTTAGTGTAACATCCTCAGAAATATCCCCGGCTGTGGTGCTCAGTGATACTGCTGCTGTTAATGCATTACCCAACACTGACTGTCTCCTGCACACTGAAATAGTAGCAGCCTGTCCATTCTAGCGGTACATGTAACCCTGCTCTTGCAGCTGTCTTGCGCAATACAACAAGCCGCAAGGCCGCAGCTAACTTACGGTGTTGTGTGTTGCTGCCGAACTCATGTACAAGGAAAGTGTGAGGACCCAGGGCACAATTTCATGCACAATACCCCATAATAAACACACACTGTAGGAGCCCAATTGTCGTTGTACTTTACTTAGTTCACATACCCGTTCAGTACACACTACATGTACGTTCATAACACGGCTGGTAACCATGGTAACCAGAGACAACTCATAACACGGCTGGTAACAACCAGAGACAACAGTTAAAGTACATGCACTGCTGCAGTATCATTTGCTAGTACAGGCAGTTCAAAGTCTTAAGTCACTGCTAGGTACATGTAGCTCATCAACATGTACATGACTGTAATAAGGTTAGTTTGGTACTATTAGTATTACTGTATTACTGTAGTACTGTAGTACTGTACTGGTGGAAACTGAGTACTAGTACTACTGCTCCACATACGGTACAGGACATACACAGTATGCACATGTACAGCACTGTGACGGCAGACCAGTCAGATACTAGTAGTACTGTGTGATACCAGTAATGATTGCCTGTAGTCAGAGCACTTCACCAAAGCAGGGCACTAGAACTGCACTTGAGCTAATTGACAGCCAGTCACCAAGACTAAGTTAGCAGCACGGACAGCACTGGGTCCTGGAAGTAATAACGGTTACTAATAACTAATAACCAAGTACCACCCATGGCCGTGGCAGTAACAGCAGGTCACCAACGCCTGATCATGGGCCAACAGCACCAGTTCCCATGCAGCAGCTACTACCTATAAATGAGAAAAAGGAAGTGAGGTACCCTGACCACAGGAGCATGCAGTACACAGCACAGTGGACCTCCCTGGTACTTCAACACAACTGATCACACAGCTTGGTACTTAGTAACACTTTTACTGGCAAGAGCCACTTCATGGCCATTACCAAACTCCCAGTGCATCATGATTAGCATGTGGACTCTGACACCACCCTATTCGGACAGCAGGCTTAAACTAGAGATCAGAATTAGGAACACAATAATCACAGTCTCAATGTTGATTAGTATACTTATTGTATTGCGATCTAACTGCATTAGTGTTCCTAGGCAGCAGGGGATCAGTCACACACTCTCAAGCACTGGTGTTGCTACATCCGCTAGCTAGCTGGGCTAGTGTAGCACTGGTGTGACGATGATCGGGTGTATCAAGTGTGATGATGATGTAACAGCAATTATAACCAATACAGTAATTGTGCATCGGAACACAGACAGTGAGACACTGAGTGAGAGAGTCAGGGAGTCAGTGAGAGAGTGAGTTACTAGTGCACTGTCACCATCCAGGAAAAAGACCGCATCACCATCCAGGAAAAAGACCGCATCGCCATCATCTAATAAACCAACAAAGACATTAAGTGATCGGCAGTTAAATCATCTCGCTAAACCACCCACTGCGATGTGTGTCACTCCCTGTGGCTGCAGATCTGCAATAGGCAGCTAGCTAGCACGTCGGTACACCGTGCCTGCCGCATGGACAACACGTGACCAGCCCAACCGGCCCACCGGACACCAGCGCAAAAGAGCACAAAAAGTAGACTTAATACGGACGTCCGCAACCCCACCACTTCGGTCGCATAATGTTAGGCGTGCACGTGTGTAGCAGACTGGGAAGCAATGGATTGCTAGCTAACACTGGACCTGTGGTAGGGTGCAGTTGCTCATTGGAAGCATAGCCTTGCATGGGAGAGGCAAGGTGAATACGATCTGCACAGTCAACTAACGTTATTTCTAGTCAACTTCTAAGCACCGTCCATCACTCTATCCATCATGTTTGAGTGCATGCACTGCAAATCTCCAAGCTAATGGCATATTGTCAGTCTGTCACACATAGACACATAGGCAGACATCGAGATAAGGTTACAGTGAGAGGCAGTTTTCAACAAGTGTGACAGCCAGATACTAGCCACTTGCAAATCACACCGTGCTGCCGCCATGCGTGTACGCGTGGACTCCCCTCGGACACCAGAATCCGAACATAAGCGACGCAGGTCAGGGAAAAGTAAGTTCTTCGATGTGCATACCGGAATCTGTGTGCCGTTTCGCAGCTGCTCTCTCCAGACTAGTGATAACAGCCATAGCACAGGTGCAAGAACGGACAAGCATGGTGCATGGTGCATGGTGCATGGTGCCGAGCTTCGGCACACCATATCACAAAGGATGCATCCCACTGAGTGACAAATGGCTTCTAAATTCCAGCCAGAAGATAACTACCTAAGCATCGATCAGTCCCAGGATTGGACACAAAGTCCGCCTTCACATTCCAATACATCAACAACCTGAACCCCTCTCCCACACTAGGACAAGCTAAGAGGAGGATACATCCAAGAGCTACGAGTACTTCAACTGGGCTGGACTCTACTGCCATAAATCAATACACAAACACGCCTGACGATAAATAAGTGCAACGATGGAGAGTTTGACCTTTTAGTCAGCACACACCCATGTACGGAGGCAAGAGAAGCAAATGGTACCATAACTCCTTGTGCTTGCCGAATTGGTAGTGTTCGTATTCACTAATGAGCTATTTACGTGCAATCAAAGAGTTTAAGGAGGAGTAGAAGCCATGACGAAAGCAACACGCCGACCCACCCAGTGCAGTGTGAGTTACACGGATGTGCTAACTGCACAGTGTGCTAGCATCCAGTTTGAAAGTCACTTATATAGAAATTAGGCGACAACCAATAACTAATAACTTTGTGTTGTGTCAATTAAGCTGTCAATGCAATAGGTTCACACAGTGCACCTGGGCTAGATGGATTCAGGGCTTACTCTCGACATAGATCATTGCGTAACAGCTACATACACCTGGTGACTTAGCCATATAGCCTCTCATAAGACTGCAAACTAATAATGACTGGGCCATGAGCGATACGAACTCCATCTGCAATCAACAACCACTAGATACTACACTGCTTGCGCCAGAGTCAGTCAAACCGACTTTTCCGCATCCCTAGGAACACCAAAAACCCTCAGGGATAAAAGCCCAGATGTGCATGTAGCTCCCAAGGCAGTGGGAGGTGAGCACATCAAACCCACCATTAATAAGTGGTAAAAGACCAAAAATCCCATTAGCTGAATCCATGGTACCCTCACACATACCATAACCATACCAGGGTTACTGAAAAAGCATGAGCTCCACCAGCACCACCCGGTCACATGATCAAGTCCTCTGCACCTCTGGCAACCCCTACACTGCACAACCCAACACCTCGGCCCCGGGCTACACTGCACAACCCAGTATCCCAGCATCCGTTTTACACAACTGTGTTTGACAAATGACAACCCACAGCACATCAGCAAGTGCTTAGTTCCAGGAAGTTTACGTAATCGATGAGCAAGCGTAATGACTACCGGTATATGATGACAGGAGACACCGGTACATGCCACACAAGTGTACAACTACCACACCACACACCACCCTTACATCTCTCATCATTTAGTACTTGTTACAACTAAGTGTCACTAGACGTCACTCACAAACAATATGACATCAATATACTGAACTTAATGAACACATCAAGCAAGGTTGACTCACCTCTATCTCATGCTGAGTGACTGCCTAAGGTCAATGCCCAGCTGCAGCACTAGTACGAGGTACTGCAGTAATGTTCCTCCCCTGTATGGGTCAGTCGCCTGGCCACATGACGTCCCAACTAGAGAGGGTAGCACAGGTTACGCTGGAGATGTGATGTGACGAAGCATGCACAGAGCTGAACAGGACCACCTAGACAAAATTACACAAGACATTGTAACGAATTGGACAGAATTGGACATGACCATAACTCGAACCAGGGAGCAGCACAATACTACCATGTCCAAACTGAACGCAGACAAAAAGTAGTCGCGCATATAACATTGTTAGAATACTCAACGACGCTGATGGATTCAACATTTCCTTGACACAGCGGCCCACACAGCTCCGCCTGTGGCATCACGCCAGACATGGACATCATTCGAGAAGCTCATCGCATAACACAGCAATCCTAAACACCACACGTGCACGTACTATATCACTTTTCTTGTCGTTAGCTACGGACAACACACTCAAGGCCGCGACACTCACACTGAGTGTGACTCCTAGTCAATATCACGGTAGTCAGATGATGCGGTTATCGTAAATTATTCCTGCATAGAGATGTCAACTATACAGTCAGTCTAGTTCTGAGAGAAAAAAAAGTTAGAATAGAAGAAATCAATGACCAGCATCAGATCCATCAGCAGCAATAAGACATGGCGAGTAAATTAGTCCATGACATCAGCAATATGCACAGCACACACATCTGCTCGGAGGGAGTTACAAGTAGGAATATAGCAGCCAGTGAAGCAAGCATCAGGGACGCTCAGATGCTCAGCTAAGCCTGCTCATGTAGTCTTCTTAAAGTCATATGTAGCAAATCAAGCTATCGGGCTACAGCCCGGACACCACCTATGTATCAGAATTTTGATATGAACCAGACAGGTCAAATGAAGAAATTGTTCTTAAAAGATCAGTGTCTACCAATATTGCTACCATTGCAAATAACATTCTGTCGGTCAATGATAAAGAAGATATTCAGGCACCGGGTGCAAGAGCAGAATAGGATACTCTAATGAAATGATCGCAAATTTGCTACGCTCGTCCATAAGAGTCCTTCGACTCGACAATGGCAGTTTTCAAGGTAAACATCAACACGGATTCATCAACATCTGATGCAGTGGGGCTGGGATGGAACAATGTCACGGTTAAAGAGCAGGTCGACACACACGGAAGGCGGTATACGCGACTACCCGTGTGGGGCTCGTCTTCCCTGTCCCGCGTTTGCGACTCGACAAAGAAGACGCTGATCGGTTGACCAAAGCCCCCCGCGGGTATCGTTTCAGAGCCGGTGAGGAACACAAGGACATCACCGAGTGACACGCCAAACTCCTTATCATCTACATCACCCAACAAAGAACACAAGCCAAACTCTTAATATGTATGTACCAATACTTCATCCACAGAATGAGAAGCATATCATCCCCTGGTTTCATTGAGCATTGCGAAGCCATGGAACTTTAAATCATAACTATTAGTCCTTTTCGCTATGGAACTTGAAATCATAATGTTTGTTCCTCTGTTGCCACATAAACCCAACTCTGTGAAGGAAAATGGCAAAGGGAGAAAACAGAGGCAGCGATAAAAGGTAATAAGCTGCAGCTGCAAGTGGCGTGCAGGTGAGGTGTGGTGGACACAGCCGACAACTGGCGGCCATTGGTGATCACTAGTGGTGAAACGAATATCAAAACCCAGTAGCCGAATATTCTTCGGCTTAACGAACGAACGAACGAATATTCTTTCGTTAACACGGATGACATCACATGCCCTCCTCTCAGTCATCTTATTGGATATTGTCACTATTATTAGGCATGACGAACGAAGGCATATATTTCTCCATCATTTCTAGGTCATTTTTCACAAAAATCCCCAGCTGAAGTGCCTTTCACAGGCTCGAAAAACAGCTTGAGCTTGAGACGTGATTTTCGTTCGAGCGCCATACCTCCCCTTCGGGACCTAAGATTGCGTTCGGGTGGCTTCTAAACAACAGCTGAGAGTTTGCTAATGCCGATAGATCTTTCAATGAATCGATTCAGTCAAGTATTCACGAAGTTACGAAAGTTTGAAGTCGCCCGGTTGATTCTGCATACCGGGTTAACGAATATTCGCCATGAGAAATATTCGTTCGAATGTGTCAAACTGAACGAATATTCGAACATTCGGTATATTCGTTTCACCACTAGTGATCACAGGTACCGGCTTTCCCGAACACTACATGCATCCTGGGGTATGCAAGTCGAGGGCGCACGGAGTGAAAAGAACAAAGGAGGAAAATCCCATGTGTTATTCGTGCTGCAATGGCTGCCGTGGAAATAATTCTTATAACTACTTCGAAGTATTTTCCAAGGATCAATATGAGTCTACAGAGTCACTGGCAGTAACCAGTTCTCCGGTCCGAACCAGAAAGGAAGCAATGGTTATACTTGTAGTTCAATGGCAACATTTGTTGCGGTTCGCATGAGACTTGGGCAGACTGAGTTTTCTCCGGGTGACATGGGTGCAGCAGAGCGAATGAATGTTTGCTGTTCGATCACTTTGAGGTGGGTCTGATCGACTCACCTCCCACAGCTTTTGTGAACAATTAGTTAGGGACAATTCCTGTGGACTTGCAAACACGCAGGAATTCCAAACTACAAGACCAGCACAAACCTTGGCAGAGTTGCAAGAAGCGATGAAAGCCTGCGTAGACCCGTTGGCACATGCTGAGTAATGCCTTGCCCTGCTCAGTTCTCTGATTGAGTCTTGGGAACACGGGCTGTAAGAGACCGACAATATCGTCCACACTGAGGCCAGACGACAGTGCATCCTCCTATACACCATCACAACAACAGCAACAACAGCAATAGCAGCATCAGCAGCGGAAACACAATAAGACTACATGAGTTGAGACAAATTGTCCAAAACGCTTTACATACATAACAGCTAAAACAACTTCATTCTATCCTGCTACATGCAATTGACTAGGCCAGTTCACAATACCAAGGTGTTTTCATAAAGCCCGAGATATGCTACAGTTCTAATGTGTGTACAGCAGAGAGTCATAGTGGTAGGCTGGCAACTGGCACACATAGTCTGGTATGTAGCATGTACAGCCATGCAGTTGCCTGTGTTGATACAGCTTAGCCAAGTCAAATGGTCCTTGCATACTGTACGCAAAAGTACATTCGTCCAAGCATGCAGGACCCCCATCCACCCACGCGCACACAGACACATAGAGACACAGGCACACATAGAGACACAGACACAGACACACACAACACCCACGTACACACACGCACATACACACACACAAGCACACACACACACACACACAGGTGGTACAAGAGATTCGCTACACTACACACCGGTCACACACAACAACGAGCCATACCACGAAAAACGGCATCATCAACTGAGGATAGCGGCGTATGATCTCATCCAAGCCCAGATGTGCCAAACCCAAGCGGAACTGATCCAGTTCAGCCTTGCGACGCAGAATAATCTACGAACATTATACAGCAATGAGACAAGAACATCTTTATAGAAAAGAAAAGAGAGAGAGAGAGAGAGAGAGAGAGAGAGAGAGAGAGAGAGAGAGAGAGAGAGAGAGAGAGAGAGCGAAAGAGAGAGAGAGAGTAGATGCACTTGATCCCTCAAGCACTAAAGCCTGTCTGCAGTGACTACCAGACGGTGGACAGAAAACCCATACAAACCGCCCAAACCTCAATAAATAATACTTGATGAAGGCCCTTCTCAATGGATGCAAAACATAGGTTTTACTCCATTGTCAGACAAAATGAATAAGACCCCTGCATGTTGGACAATCTTTCATCTAAACAAAACAATGAAAGTAGATTTGTCCCTGTGAGAAGGGCAAGTCTGCTGCCATAATGAACTTGATACATGTCGTAGTCATTGCTTGCTTGCCCGCATTATCGGTCAATGTTTCACACATATACATGTACTGGTACCTACCTCATGATAGAGTAAGCAGTGCAGCATTGCAGCGCCGTCTTTAGGCGCAGAGCACTTGGACAGTGGTCGGCAGTAGCCGGACGCAAAGAGCTGAGACTTGACTGACTCGTCCTCAGTAAGGAGGGCCTGGAACTCAGCCTCTGACGCAGATGAAAGCTAAGCACAGGAAGATACACCGTATGGGATCAACACCACGAGCCTGCACCAGTGCGCCGCACTGTAAAATAAATCACTACTGCTGGAGGAGAGGAGGTTTGTCAGCAAACAGACCGTTTAGTAGAATTGTTGAGAGACCATGCAAGGAGAAAATTGTTACGTCGGATTTGGCTGACTTTCGAAAAGACACAGGTCTTGATACATTAATTCTGTCAAAGACACCCGCATGCCTTTAGAGAGGATAGTAACATACAGCATGACACGTGAACACGTACATGTATAATGACTGCTTTGCATCCATTATCAGCTGTCGACTTCATATCATTGATAGTAGGGTCTTGATTCATAACACACAAACTGATCGTCCCCTAATGGTTGCTTCGGCATGAAATTCACGCTGAAACAGAAGCCGTTCTGCTTTCAATGTATCTCTGTGACAGTGCGTCGTCAAATGCCATGAGCACCGTGATGTGCGCGGTTGAGGTCCCTTTACAGAAGGTAATGACGAGGACATGACCACCAAGAGTATGCAAAAGCAGTGTATCGCGTCTGCAACGGCAGAATATTACATCGGGTGACAAACCCACACACACTGCGTCCTGTGCATGAGCGAGTTGTAAACGACCGTGTTTTGGGTACACAACTCTCTGTTAGTCACTTGCACGATCTGCTCGCCGCGTAACCTATTGAACCATGTCACATGGTGTGAAGCTCTGTCCTCGCAGCACGGGATAGAGACAGTACTGGCAGGTGTACAATCCTGCGGGTCATGTACATTAGACAGCCTGGATAATGTCCCGGACAACCAGCACCAGTGACCGTACCTTAGTCATGACATCACGTAACCGCTCGTCGATGACATCATCCAGCATGAGTTGCATCTGCACGCCAGCGGACGATGAAGCATTCGACTCCAGGCATAGGAAATCAAACACTGCCTTGGAGAAGATGGGAAGACCCGGTCCTCCGTGGATGATTGAATGCCCTACGAGACAACCGAGCGCTGAGAACAGACCGGTCTCCAGAGCCTGCACATTGTGTCGAGGCAGCAGATGACCTGACTGGCCCTCCAACAGCAGCGAGGCTTCCGTCGACGCCACGCTGGCAACGATACGAAAGAAATCTCGACGCGGACCACCGGCATCAATGCCTGGCTCTCCAACAAACGTCACCTAGTATCGGCATAAACAGAGAGAGCACCAGCAAGAGATCCACACCAGCATACACAAGGCACAAGCTAATCAGACAGTATGATGTCCATTGCACAATGCTCTGTGCACTTATCTCAGCTAAAGGTGATCCAGAGATACAAAACATTTTCTGATCCCAATGAACTACAAGAAAGGCATCTATATAATGTATATCTTCTGCATTGAGAGCAACAGCAGTTATGGCAGAATCAGCAGCAATACCAACAGCAGCAATACTAGTCGCAGTAGCAGCTGCAGCATCAAACAGCACCCAGAAAATAGCAGTAGAAAACAGCAAAAGCGAACATCAGAAGCAAACAGCGGAAAAAGAGCAGCAGTAGCAGACAGCAGCACCAGCAATACCTGTATATTCTTACTTTGGGTTCCCTGGCCAAGTCCGCAGCTGTCCAGCGCTGTCGGTAGAAGGCCAGTGCATCCTCCCAGGCATGGTCTCGGCGGATCTGAATTCTGCACAGGGCAGTGCTTCTCGTCTTGCACAGCGATGCCCGGTGCTGTGATAGTAGCGTTGTGATATCAGGCTGCTCGTCAGCTGCTGGTAAATCACTGAAAATAGCCAAAAAAATAAAAAGGGAAAGCATGGGTAACTGAGACTCAATCAGTAGCTTTTCAATCAAATTTACAATCGCACATCTGTAAATAAGAGAAAAGAAGGGGGGGGGGGGTGAAGAGATGGCTAGCGGACTCTCTCTCTGTCTGTCTGTCTGTCTGTCTCTGTCTCTCTCCAAGTAAGTGAGAGAGTGCAGATAAACAACACACTTTGCTCCAACGTACATTGCGTTGCATACTTGAAGATGATCCTTGAGCAGGGCCGCATTGATCGATCGTAGGCACAGCTTGCAAGGCAAAGATGCCGAGCTCTACAAACAGAATTACAACATGATATCAAGATGGATAACACAGAAAAAGCAAAAAATGAACTTAGTGTACTTAGTGCAACTAACCAGAGGCCAAAGTAGCAACACGCACTAACTAGAGGCCATCCAAATAATTATTACATTTTCAATGTCATCTACACCATCAGAGCAGTGGTGCAAACATACAGACAACAGTTCCCAGTGCATAAAGCTGTCATGCGTGTGCAGTGACTGCAGTCCTAATGCAGATTGACACGAATTTCTGCAGAGATACGTACAGATATCCACAAAGGCATGTTCCAAAAAGTTTTCTATGAAGTGAACAAACTTGAGGCTTTTCACGACACAAGCAACGTTTTTGAAAGGTTTTCCACGTGTATACATCCATGCCTTCTCATCAGGTGGAACACAGGCAAAAGCGAAAAGAAACACGAAGAATGAGTAGCGAGAAATAAAACTGGCAAATAGGTCTATTGTCCATTGTTGCCACACTACATTGCAAGCTTGTTCGATTTCTTCACACTTGTACCTTATTACAACTCAGACTGAGACAAGGATGTTACCGGTATGTATAATTCTATTGACATAAGCCAACAACGAGGAAGTCACTTCAAGGACTCGGAAGACAGAACAACAACAAAAGGGGAAGGCAGCACAGGTTGGCCTGCGTGCATGCAGAGTCCTAGTGACGTCTTAGTGACGTCAACACATCAGACATGTACATGGATATCACAACCTTTTGTCATTCCTTCAATGTGTATGCGGTGGGTCAGGCGCGTGCGCCGGTGCCCTTCAAGGGGGGGGGGTCCGGGGGACCTCGCGCGGGAAAATTTTCAAAAAATGAAGCAAAATCCTGCATTTTGAGCGAAAAAGGGGGGGGGTTCCGGGCACCCAGGAACCCATACGGCGCACGCGCCTGCGGTCTCGCGTTTTGCCTACTCATGCATGAGCTGTTCTGTCACCTCTCTGCTATGCTTAGTCCAATGCTCTTCAGTCTTTGCTTATTGCCTGTAACCTAGCTGATTTTTGCCTGGAGTGTGTTCTCTTCCTAGGTGTGATTGCATGTTCTAAAATACATACAGTCATATATTTACACAGTAGAAAGGGACAGTATGGTGGTCCCCTACCAAATTCTGAGACGTCGCTTGCAACATAGCTGTCACAACATTGATGTGCTGTAAAGATGCTGCAATGTACAGAGGACTATCGCCAGTCTGTTTGGCAGGATATACACACACACACACACACACACACACACACACACACACACACACACACACACACACACACACACACATGTATGCACGCATACACCAACACACATACGTACACACATGGACATGCATGTACTTACACACACACGTACACATACGCACACACACACACACATACACACACACACACACGCACACACACACACACACACACACACACACGCACGCACGCACACACACACACACAAACAGTCCCGTGCATGCATAAACAAGCGAACATGACGGCAGAAGCTGCAAAATAGCGCCGTAAAGTGCTTTTAACACCACAAGAGACGAAACAAGAAAGTTGAGAATCCTACAACTCGTAAACGCTACACATTGCCTGGCGCTCTTCGTGAACTACCATTAGTATACAGTGGGGATCTTGTGATGATGCATGTGATTGTGATGATGCATGTGATTGTGATGATGCATGTGATTGTGATGATGCATGTGATTGTGATGATGCATGTGATTGTGATGATGCATGTGATTGTGATGATGCATGTGATTGTGATGATGCATGTGATTGTGATGATGCATGTGATTGTGATGATGCATGTGATTGTGATGATGCATGTGATTGTGATGATGCATGTGATTGTGATGATGCATGTGATTGTGATGATGCATGTGATTGTGATGATGCATGTGATTGTGATGATGCATGTGATTGTGATGATGCATGTGATTGTGATGATGCATGTGATTGTGATGATGCATGTGATTGTGATGATGCATGTGATTGTGATGATGCATGTGATTGTGATGATGCATGTGATTGTGATGATGCATGTGATTGTGATGATGCATGTGATTGTGATGATGCATGTGATTGTGATGATGCATGTGATTGTGATGATGCATGTGATTGTGATGATGCATGTGATTGTGATGATGCATGTGATTGTGATGATGCATGTGATTGTGATGATGCATGTGATTGTGATGATGCATGTGATTGTGATGATGCATGTGATTGTGATGATGCATGTGATTGTGATGATGCATGTGATTGTGATGATGCATGTGATTGTGATGATGCATGTGATTGTGATGATGCAATGCAGAGAGAAATCAAACACACTGTCGCTGTACTAGTACCTTATCTCGTAAAATGCTGGATGCTCCATACTGCAGCAGCACTCTGGTGGCGGGTACGTTTGCAAATCGGGCCGCCCAGTGTAGAGGAGTACGTCCAAACTGTGAATAGCAAAACACAGAACACACAGCACACAGAGTCACACTATTTTCAACCAGGTCACCTCTGCATTATACCGAATGTCATGCTAGAAGGTAGAAAGACAACCCTACCTTATCCAACGCACTCCAGTCAGCGTTGTGCTTGAGAAGGGCCTGCATGACACGCTTCTCTCTCCACTGAATGGCGAGGTGCAACGCTGTTTCGCCAAGCTGATTAAAACACAAGTGCACACACACATGCACACAGTAAGACTTACGTTTAGTAACCAGTGCATACATATCTGATGTCATCTGAAGTCTATAGACAGCAGTCGTTCATCCATGGTACTATTAAAGGGGAAGTTAAAGCTAAAATCAAAATTTCACCAGTTGTAGTCTTCGGGGTGCTGAGTTGAATGGCCTTGGTCCGAGGAAGCTGAGACGCTCCCTTTCTACTTTAATCCCAATCGAACTCGCGCACTTCCACCGAAACTGGGTGACTGCGCCCTACTAGATGGGGATTTGTATGCAAAATGTCACTAAAAGCGCCATTTCGTTCTTATAGAAGCACGGATGACCGCGATTGGCCCATATGTTGTAGTCTTTTGGACGCTGAGTCGACTGGTTTTGGTCCGAAAAGGCTGCGATGCAACGTTCCTCCTTTATTCCCAATCGAACATGGTTGAACAAGCGGTCACGTGCTCCTGCGTACACCAGTCACCTGGTCACCGTGCCTGCAGGGTACAACTTACTAGCCAGTCTGACCTTTTTTGGGTGCAGTCCTGTCACTCGAGTTGAACCTTGGTGTGAAAGTTGTCGCCTGCTGGCGTGGTGACCAGGTGATTCGGGCACCCAGGAGCACGTGACCGCTTGTTCAACCGTGTTCGATTGGGAATAAAGGAGGAACACTGCATCGCAGCCTTTTCGGACCAAAACCAGTCGACTCAGCGTCCAAAAGACTACAACATATGGGCCAATAGCGGTCATCCGTGCTTTTATAAGAACGAAATGGCGCTTTAAGTGACATTTTGCATACAAATCCCCATCTAGTAGGGCGCAGTCACCCAGTTTCGGTGGAAGTGCGCGAGTTCGATTGGGATTAAAGTAGGAAGGGAGCGTCTCAGCTTTCTCGGACCAAGGCCATTCGACTCAGCGCAGGGATGCATGTGGAACATGACTTCAAACCTGAACCTTTCATCAATGGTAGTGGCAGATTCACAGGGGGCCAAGGGAACCAGGCCCCTCCTTTAAACATGTTGACCATTGTTTGCCTATGGACCAGTGATGGTGCAAGTCTCGGTGACTGTATTGTCATGACATGTAAATCTTGCTCCACACAGTGTACCCATGTACTGCACGGCTTTCATGTCACACACAACTAGTCACTCAGGGTGGGAGCGGGACTACACCCAGTACTTCCACGGCCCGTATTGTATCGGCCCACTTGCAGATGCACAAGATATGCAGCCAGCAATCAATTCAGGAAAACTATTGCACAGTTGTGCATTTGTTGAGTCACCTCCACCATTACACTGCGCTCTTTAGCCGACTAGACCCTCCTGCACACAACCATCACCATTGCGAGGACACTTCCGTAGACGATATTGATAAACTCCTTCAGACAGCCGTTTCGCTAATACATAGCTCATCAGTAAAGGGAGATGTTGAATGATTAAAAATATAGACCAAACTGCTATTATACAGGGGCGTAGCAGCCGCTCCGGCTTTGGCCGGACCACTTTTTCGCCCGACCACGACCACCATAGGGGGGGGGGGAGGGGGTCGTCCGTACCCCTCGTACCCCCCCCCCCCCTTGGGTACGCCCCTGATCTACCACATGATCATACAGGACAGCCATGTAGCTTCCACTGCAGTCAATCCACTGCACCAGTTGGTCACGTGATGTCAGCCATTGCGTTTCCACTGTCCACACGTTGTCATGAACACTTTTTTCTACACAAATGCAGTCACATGACAATGATGTGAAGCCACTCTTTCGGCGGTGTAGAGCACTCTGTCGGCGGTGTAGAGTTCGCCTACCTCCTGTGTATGGGCATTGACGTTAGCACCACACTCGACTAGCAGAGAGGCAATATGCGGTCTGCCTTGTATGGACGCTTCGTGAAGAGGATGCCGGCCTTCCTACAACACAACAGAGCCAGGCACATGTTGGTTGGTTGGTATATTTTATTTTACTTCGCCAGAATGAACAGGCATTGCTGCCTTTGTGCCTGGACAAGCGGATTGTCCAAGCTCTCACAAAAAGATGAAGAACATGTGCGCAGCTCAAGTGTAGTCAGCGTAGTTCAGTCAACATACAGGCAAAGGGCCGCCATATGTACTACATACCGTAGTCACAATAGGCAAAGTGGTGACTATAGGTTGCCGGTGTTACATAGTCACCACAGCACAGATGTGCTCTGATACAAATACTCACCATACCACAGATGTGCAAGCCACACGCCTGAGGCATAGGTGAAACAGTTAGAGATAGGAGCACTGGACTTGCTAAGCGGCGCTCAATGAAACAAGAAGTTTCCAACGCCTCCTGCAGCTATGATCAGACTTGAACGGTTAATGTGACAGGCAGTGCAGAGATAGGCTGTACTGTTACTGTGTGTAAGGACATGCATTGTAGAGTCAAACACCTTTTTGGGAAAACAGAGCAACAACAAGCAACCTGAACTGATTATAAGTTTTTTCCAACTCAGCGTACCTCATTGTAGACATTGACATTGGCTCCAGCTCTGACCAATACGGAGATGATGTCACTATAACCACCTTGCACTGCTAGGTGAATAGGTGACGATTGACAATACTACGGCACAGAACACAGGGCAGTACATCAAGCAAGACAATGGAGGTATGAAGCGCTACATCTCCCCCCCCCCCCCCCCCATTTCTATCACCATGGCTGGCTATCACCCATACCACCTCTTCATTGGCTAATGCCAGTGATTGTGAACAAATGAAATATAATATATACCGTAGTGTCTCGTATTAAAGCCTATCTCATATAGAAGCCTGTTTTGAACACAAGCCTGATTTTCAAGATACACTGTCGGCACATAAGCCTGGTTTTAGTGTTGACACACATAGAAATGCCTGGTTTGAATACAAGCCTGATGTGAATAGAAGCCTAGCCCTGACATCAGCTTCTACAGGAATAAGCCCGGCTTGAATACGCAATGGTTGATAAATATGGTGGTAAAGACACACCTGGCAATATGGCGGTAAACACACGCCTGCCCACACACGCTCTCTAGGCTGCAAAGTTCTGGCACAGAGCTCTCCTTCTCACCACCACCACCATCAGTTCGCGCCTGGCGCCTCGTCGATGAATGGTTGGTGGTATCCGACACTGCAGGCTGGTACATCAAGTAGCGCATGGCACATAGAAGATGACACAGCAACGACATAGCTCGATTGCGACGTACATTTCGTCCCCGCTGGACTCATCAGGCAATCTTCTTCTTGGATGTCTTCATACGGAGCTCGACTCGGGAGAATGAAGTTGAAGACACCACTGCAGCTGTACTTATGGTTGATAAATATGGTGGTAATGACACGTATATTGCCAGGTGTGTCTTTAGCACCATATTTATCAACCATACGTACAGCTGCAGTGGTGTCTTCAACTTCATTCTCTTGGATACGCGACATTACGGTAAATACAGCAGACAGAACAAACGGCAAAAAAGGCATACACTAAGGTGTGCCCAGCGCACTGCTTGGCTTGTTCGCGGTCACTGGAAGGAATGGGATGGCATCATGATGATGCCTCTTCCGCCACAGACTCTGCCACCGTTGGTGACGAGGATAGAACACTGGGGGGTGAAGAGGATAGAACACTGGGGGTGAACACAGATGCCAGTCTGCTGCACTAGGAATTAACTATTCCTGGCGCGAATAAATCGGCAGCTGAAATTTGAGTCCCTGAGAGTGAACTGCATGTATGAGTACCCGTGGTCCTTGCTGCGGCCAATATCAGTGGCAGAGTGAATGCAAAGACGCTAGCCCAGGCGCAGTGTCACTGACGCAAAGACTGGCAGAATCGATATGGGAGGCAGGGTACTATTCAAGAGAGGGCTCTAATCGAGCGAGTACGGTAATTATTTATTAATTTAGATTGTGAGCTGCACACCGCCTCTAGTCAGGTTCTTACTGTGGATACGGCATTTGGTGATATGCCGTCCTCAAGAAACTCGCGTACTTGTACAATGTCTCCCTTGAAGCAGGCCACTAGGAAATCACCGGCGACGGAGTCAACCTACAGAGTACACAAGATGCACATACGTACGGTAAATACCACAAGGGCACAACTCTCACATTGAACAATACACAGGGCTTGCGATGACAAACTTTAGATCATGAGCAAAAAGAATGGTGACGCCCCCCCCCCCCCACCTCCTCCTCTACGGTATACCTAACCTGGTTCTAACGTTATACACACTCAACGGGCTAGAGGCTTCAACTGATGGACGATGCCAGATTGCTTGAATGAGTTTGCAGTGGATGCCCCCCAGATAATAACGGAAACCATAATGTACACTCAGACGTATAACTCTGCATAAAATAATGTACATGTAATGCTGCACCATCGAAAAAGAACGAAACTGCTGTGTTCGCTAAATATAAGAACGGGTTAGGCTAGAACCCGCGGCACGCCCCGTTCTTCGACGCCCTGCAGTACTGTACTCCTTTGCAATAGCGGCAGGCATCTAAAACATGGAAATCTCAAGCCAGGTTGGCCACATCTTTGAGCCGAAATGTAGAAAAACGCCGCGACAGTAATCACATGCAGACATGTGGTACTCATGCTCATGTTCCCTCAAGCCTGGACTTTCTTGTGGCACACATCTTTGGAATCCTGTTTCTTCTACGCGTGCCGGTAGTTACAATATGCATGCACAGCTAGCCTGCATCGAGACGCACGGCTCACCTCTCCGGCCAGACACGTCTCCGCCTCCGGACCGTCACAACCGGTCAAACAGGGCATACAGTCCTCGGTGGTTACCACCTCAAACGTGTCGTCCGCCAACTCAGCACCTACCGCCAAACCACTCATCTTCACTCAATGGCTGGCCAAGATGTTCGATGGTGTCCAGAGTATGCTCACGCTTTTCTAGTATCAATTCTCATTCTCAAGAATCTGAAACAATTGATGGGAGCAATCTCACAAAATCTTCTTGGCAGAAGAAAACCATTCTATGAGAATTAGCCCATGCGATGCAACTAATAATATACCATTCGTGGTGAGCGCACAAGCTTCACCCAAAGCAAGCAGGAAATTCTTAGCATGTACTTTCTGCAAGACAAAGTCAACAGCTGCTGCCACAAGCGTTCAAACTCCAATCTCCTCAGCTGGCTTTCCGCATCACCATCCAATCGCACCGTGTGACCAGTCTGAAGCCCAAAGCAAGCAGGAAATTCTTAGGATGTACTTTCTGCCAGACAAAGTCAACACCTGCTGCCACAAGCGTTCAAACAATCTCCTCAGCTGGCTTTCCGCATCACCATCCACTGTGTGATCAGTCTGAAGTTGAGCCAGAAAATCTAATAAATATTCCAGCTGGAGCAGGTCAGCCAGGAGCTATTTAGAATTGTAAAATCTTTCCTCAGCTCGATTTCCAAATGAAGCTCTGCTGTTCATTCATTACCATCGTGTATTCAGCCAGCGGTGAGAAGTTGGGTCCTCAACATGAGATTTACTAATTTCAGCGTCACGAAAGCACAACATCAGTGGTTCACCGCATGACTTTGGCAGTCTTGAGGTAGACTCGACTCTTTTCTTGAGTCGTGTGGGGGCTCAAGTCACCGATTCACCGTCCTTTTTTTACACGACATCACCGAGATCACGTCAAGGCAAAAATGTCAGTATTTTTGTTTCCAGAACCCCCTCAACTCAAAGCTTCGAAGTCAAACTCAAAGCGTCCACTCGCTCGGAGCCATATCCTCGACAACATTATGAACAGGCTCGGAGAGAGTCGGAGTCGGAGCTCATCCGTGACGTCACGTCACATGGCTGGAGGTGCGTCATTTTCGTACACCTCTGCCACCAGGTATGTAGATCTACCTAGTACCAAGAGTACATAACCCAGTTTATCTACTCTTGCTAGTACCTGTGATCTACTCAGTAGTTCATCATGTTCATAACACCCGGACCGGGGTGATTGAACTCTTGGGTAGATCTACATCATGACTATACTGTGTAAGTAAGTAAAAGTAAATTATCGTATCCGTTCCCGAAGGGAACTCACGACGGCCGCTAACACCCGATAAACCCTAGCGGCAGATGCAGCGCCTAACGGTGGGGGTGAGTGGGCAAGTCTCACAACCACTGGCACAAGTGCCGAAATCGACCCCATTAGCTGCATCCATGTACCCCTTGTGCCTGGCCACAAGTTCCCAGTTGACTGTGGGTAGCAGCACGGCTGGAAAACCGCTCCCAGGCAGGACTTGAACCAGGTACCTCTCGTATCTCAATCATGGTCTTTGACCAACCCACTGTGCCTGCCTGTTTACTGTGTAGTATACACAATCATGATTGTACAGCTCAGGTATACAGCACTTTTTCTGGTATGTTTCATGCAAGTTCAGTTAGCACTGCGGCATGGTTTAGGAATGTTGTTGAGGGAGGGAGGGAGAGAGAGGGAGGGAGGGAGGGAGGGAGGGAGGGAGGGAGGGAGAGAGAGAGAGAGAGAGAGAGAGAGAGAGAGAGAGAGAGAGAGAGAGAGAGAGAGAGAGAGAGAGAGAGAGAGAGAGAGAGAGAGAGAGAGAGAGAGGGAGGGAGGGAGGGAGGGAGGGAGATGATAAGCAATTTTGCAGCGTTAACAGAGCGATTTTGCAGTGTCAATAGAGCGATTTTGAAGCGTCAACAGAGGGAACACAAAGAGTTCATAAGCGCACAAGCACGCAGAGAAGAGTAAATGACATGGTGTGTGGACGGGAAAAGTCAGACAGAGCATTCATTGCAAGGTGTAGGGGATGGAGGCAAGCTTAAATTACTGGGCAGCCTTGATCTCCCTTACACTCCTTGGGAGAGCGTTCCAGGCCAAGGCTGCCTGAAAGGCCAGGCGAGATCTGCCGGCTTCTGACTGTGCCGAGGGGACAGTGAGGCCCCTGGAAACCTGGTGCCGGGTGGTGCTGCAAGGTGATGGTGAGAATAGGTCCTGGAGGACACTGCTGGCTTTCCCATTGACACAGCGCCACACCAGGACGAGCCGCTTCTAAGTTCTGTGCGTAGCACTTGCGAACGCTGTACAGGGACATCCGTTCGAGCAGAGGCTGGGCCGAGGTGTGAGGCGGCAAACCGTATACCGCTCTCGCCGCTCGGTTCTGCAGGACCTGAAGGCGATCAAGCTGCGAAACCTTGAGCCGAGGGAGGAAGAGAAGGCGTTAGGCCCATATAGGAGGTCAGGCATGATGACTGACCTCACATACCGGATGCGACTACTGAGGCTCAGACATCTGCGGGACCGCCACAGTGCTCCAATCTTCTGCACAACTTTCTTCGCCATCGCGTCAACATGGGGGTCCCACTTCAGAGCGGCGTCAAGGGTCACGCCGAGGTACCTTGATGTTCGCCTCAACTTGAACTTCTCTCTCTCAGCTCAAGGGAAGTGGTGGATAAAGTCATGGAGGAAGGAAGTGAGGCTGCCGTAACGCGTAAAATTGTATACAGTAGTTCTCAGTGCTAATTCCACTACTTTTCGAGCAGAATCTGCCAATTTTTCGGAGCATTATCCGCCAAGGCCAGGGCCGGCTGTAGCCTGGAGCCCTGGACCGGGACGACATGACCAACTACCGGTGCCTTGATCGTATCGTTTAGTTTCAAGTGTTCTCCCTATTTTCAAGTACATGTAGATCTACTAGTAGTACATTACGAAGCCTCTTGTACGGGGCAAAATTAATAAACCGATACAATCATGTCATGAAAATACAAAATATTGTTTGCGTTCCGCCTCTCCACATGCCGGTGTTGGTTGACCGCCTCTCCACATGCCGGTGTTGGTTGACCGCCTCTCCACATATGCCGGTGTTGGTTGACCGCCTCTCCACATGCCGGTGTTGGTTGACCGCCTCTCCACATATGCCGGTGTTGGTTGACCGCCTCTCCACATATGCCGGTGTTGGTTGACCGCCTCTCCACATGCCGGTGTTGGTTGACCGCCTCTCCACATGCCGGTGTTGGTTGACCGCCTCTCCACATGCCGGTGTTGGTTGACCGCCTCTCCACATGCCGGTGTTGGTTGACACCATAATAGTATGTAACAAGGTGGAAGACACCGTGTTCTGGTGTTGGGAAACAGTGATCTTTCTACAACCATCCACGGTTGGTAGAGCCCCGGTCCGTTGCGACCATCTGAACCGTATCACTATGTATGGGCGTGAGGCCCCAACCGTACACGTAGTCGTTGATGCGCCCACCACGCATCGATGCGGCGATGCCCCTAACCTGACTGGTTCCCTCTCTGTATCTCTGTATCTCTCTCCCCCGTTCTCTCTCTCTCTCCCCCTCCATCTCTCCCTCTCCCTCCATCTCTCCCTCTCCTTCTCCCCCCCCCCCTCTCTCTCTCTCTCTCTCTCTCTCTCTCTCTCTCTCTCTCTCACCGAAAATTCAAATGAGCTTGACTTCATCTCGTTTTGCAAGGCGGGAGAGAAGCCAGTTCGCGTTCAGCCCAGACGAAAGTTGGTTACGACTGATCTCCTGTCAGCGGCCTCAGACTGGAAACTTCTTGTCGACTCAGTTAGTGCAAAGATTTCTTTCCCTAGCTGTGTTGCACTTACCACCCTAAGACCAGATATAGTTCTGTACTCTACGAGTCGTAGGATTGTATTCTGGATGGAGTTGACAGTTTGTGCTGAGGACAGATTCAGTGTCAGTAACTCGCGGAAGGACAGGCGGTATGCGGATCTGGCCGATCAATGCCGAGCAAACGGGTGGCAGGTCGTTTCTTTTTCGGTTGAGGTAGGTGTGCGTGGTTTCATCCCGGACTCTCTTCGGAGGGCTCTGAAAGCGCTTGGGTTTTCTAATCGAAGAATAAAATTTATTTGTAATTTGTGCAGTAAGACGTCTCTGCGAAGCAGCTACATCATCTGGTTGCGACGTCAACAAAAACACTGGTCGGAAGATCCACTTTTCTGAGGTACTGTATGTGGGGCTCCGTTTATTGAGGTGCGTTGAAATTTATTCTCTTTAGGCCAAACTAAAGAAGGTGTGTGGTTCGACTCACCCGACCGACCGTACAATTTCAGCCCGACCGTAACTTTTTTTCGGCGGGCTGTCGTGTGACTGACGTACGTGGACTGAACACGTCCACGTCTACGTGCTGTGCGGCGTGAGTCTGCGGACGCAGGCGGCTCCTTTTGGACTTGACTTGTAGGTGTACTGCAGTGCAGTGCAGTGAGTGGTACGACTGCTGCCTTGTGCTGGTAGTAGAGTCTACTCGATACGCGTATACAGTGTATTTACATGTACTAAAAAATATATTTAAAAAAACAAAAATCCGCCCGCCCGCCCGTAAAAAAAATGTCCATGTTAGTCGAACCACACACCTTCTTTAGTTTGGCCTTATCTTATTATTTCTTTTCTATAATTTCCCCATATGAGTTCCTATCAGTTGCTGTGAACACCTTGAGTGGAGAGCGCTTGCTCGAGCGTTGAACCGGGTTCTTCATCCACCATACCCAGTTCGCAAGGCTGGGCGGGGTTGTGAGCAGGCTTTCATTTCATCTTTTCTTATTATTTCTTATTATTTCTGCTTTTCATCTCATTACAAAAATTCTGCGCTTTTTCTCCATCTGCGCATAAAATCTAGACTGACAACCTGCTTGTTAAATCATGCACCTGCTTTCAGGCGTAAAAACCCTGTTGTAGAGGTCTCAGTCCTCATTTGTTAGACTTACCTGTCTTTATAAATGTAACTCTCTCTCTCTCTCTCTCTCTCTCTCTCTCTCTCTCTCTCTCTCTCTCTCTCTCTCTCTCTCTCTCTCTCTCTCTCTCTCTCTCTCTCTCTCTCTCTCTCTCTCTCTCTCTCTCTCTCTCTCGAAATTAGCTTCCATGGAACTGGGCACCATTGCCCATTTGGCCTTGCGAAGTAAAAAAATCAACAACAACAACAGACCTGGTTCTGACCCTCTCTATTCTAGGGGAGTTGTCTTAGACTTTTCGTACCGTCAGTCTTGTGTTCTTTGTTCGGTCCTGGAAGTCTTCTCGATACTCATAAACTTAGTGGCGGGTTTTGTTCTGAATTGTTCTTCTCTCTTCTTTTCAAACTCTTTTGTTTTCTTTTTCCAAATTCTGCCCATGTCGTCCCTCTCTCAGCTCGTCAGCTGACAACATTGTTTATATTCAAACAAATAATTCAATGAACATGCAGTAGTACAGTAGTAGGGTATTAACACGCCCTTGTTTTTAAATGTTCGAAAGGTAACGTACTGAAGAGGTTCTCAGAAAAGCGTTCAGAAAAACAACAACGTCAACGGCGATAAGAGCAACAACAGCAGTGGAAGCAGCAGCAGCAACAGCGATAGCGGCGGCGGCGCAACAACAACAGCAGCAGCAGCAGCAACAACAACAACAACAACAACAAAGTGCAGATGGGGTGTTGCGACTTGGTGAAGGCCTACCCATGGCCGCGTCGGGACATCACCGACCTCATCTACAGAGAGCACCTTCTCACGACAGTTACATGGTGGTGACAGTAACTGTTAACAGCTGACGAGCTGAGAGAGGGGCGACATGGGCAGAAGTTGGAAAAAGAAAACAAAAGAGTTTGAAAAGAAGGAAGAAGAACAATTGAGAACAAAACTCGCTGTTAAGCTTATGAGTATCAAGAAGACATCCAGAAGCGAACAAAGAACACAGTCATGTAAGACTGACGGTACGAGAAGTCTACGACAACTCCCCTAGAATAGAGAGGGTCAGAACCGGGTCTAACACCCATACGGTTCAGATGGTCGCAACTGAGCAGGGCTCTACCAACCGTGGATGGTTGTAGAAATCACGGTCACTGTTTCCGAATTATTTTAGTTTCCGCACATCATGGGAAACATCCAGGCAGCCACCGATACAAAGTCATACTATGACTCATAATGACTGCCCTGGGCCATGGGATCTCATCCAGTCATTGCCCTTCCAATTAACTATCATGCGCATATACCTCTAAATCAATTATTTATTATGATTGTAGTACTTGCACAGTATATACACTGTACACTGTCTTGACAATTTGTGTGTAGTGTGCTTGAAGCACAATGTACAGTACAGGTAGTAGGGGTACATGTACAATGTACAATGTAGAGTGGATTGTTTTTCCAGAACGTTTTAGCCAACCAATACTACAGGTCAATAAACAGCCGTGGCCACACAAGTGCTTGACCTGCAACACGTTGGCTGAAGCGGATCACCTCAACACAATACACAGAGAGAACAGTGAGATTGAAAGCAAGTGAAGTACAGGACTGAGGCAAAACGATACCATCACTTGGAGAGAACTGAGATGGCAGTCTCGGCTGAAGCAATTTCTTTCAGATGATGATACTGTATAAAGTGGATACGCGTAATACAATCATGAACATTCCTGCCATGGTGATAAAGGACAACCCGAGCTCGCTATTTTGGTATAGAATTTCAAATGCACAATGAACTTTGCATCGCAGTTCTGTCATATATATAAACTATTACAGACACCTAAATGTTTGAATACTGGGTAGGTAATATTTTGAAATGGTACACAAAGGCAGCCATAAGAAAGGTTCAAACTGCTATAACGTATAAGGTCTAAAGTCAGTGAAGGACAAAAGGGCAGGCTGCGGAACAATACTGATTCATCTGAGCAGACACCTGGTGCCTCACCAGCCAATCAATGGCCTGGAGCAGACTAAATGCAAAAACTGGTAAGGGGCCAGGGTTGGCATTGATTCAAGTGCGCTTGATAAGCTTCCAATAAGCTTCCAATAGCTGAGGTATAATCGAACAAAAATCAGAGCATGTTTGGTAGTGTACAGAAAACTCCTACAGAGATCCTCATGATCGTGTCGAGCCCCTCAGGAGGCCATGACCAACAACGCCGCCGGGGAAAGTGCAACAGGCATTGCTTGCCCATCACGTTGGCCTGTCACATTAGTCATGACTTCAGTGAAAGCGCGGCATTGGTACTTCACCGTGCATAGCCTGTCAAGGTCATGAAACACAGACACAAACACAGAACGAGAGACAGAGCAAGACAAAGCGTCATAGCAATGCACTGCACTAGACAAGAGATGAAATCCATCACCACCACCACTAGCTACAGGTATGGAGACGGCATGTGCGGCCTGACTTCAGATGCATCCACACTTATGCTTGAGATGCGAAGCAATGGCTACTACTGCTTCTTGTAATCTCTGTGGTATAGTTTGGCCATCACCTATCAATGCCCACATACCATACATGACAGTACTAGTCAAACCCGGCCAAGAATTGTGCATTTTTTACTTCAAAGAATAATAATAATTAACGAATGAGATGTTTACCTTGGTGAGAAAGTCTGGATCAATGTTTCCGCCAGTTATTACACAGCAGATCTTGCCTGCACCAGCTTGTCCGCTGAGTGCAGCAGCCAGGGTGACAGCACCGGCACCCTCAGACACAACATTCAGGCCGTTCAGCATCATCTGAATAGCATTTACAACCTGGGCAGAGATGGCACATGCGTGTATACACGATTGATTGTATGGAATAGAGAAATGTTCGACAACGAGCAAAGCTGGAAGGTGAATAACTGTCATCTGCACGACGTATTATTTATTACATACAGCAACCTGTAGCCCCTTCCGAGTGGAGCCTACACATTAAGAGTAGCCATTGCACTGCAGTTCACTGTAATCCATATCGAAGACTGGATGCGGAATATCACACGGACTACACCCTTGACTACTGAGCATGCGACGGTGGTTACTGCAAGTTTCACCTTTGCCTTCTACGAACGTATTTTTCAAGTAAATAGCATGTGTGCTCACCATTTCTCTTGGAGTTATGAAGCTGGTACCCTCTGTTTCTCAATCATGGTCTTAGACCATCCCACTATGCCTGCCGGCGGAAAACTCGGCCTCTATATAGAGAAACCGAGTCTGACGCGAACCGTGAATTTTTTATTTTTATGAATCTGCAGGATGCTTCACCCCTAATACATATCTTCAAGTAGACTACCGGAGTAGATAGTGTTGGACAAATGAAGGCTCACAGATAAAAGAGGAAAGCAATACATTTGTCCAGGCTCATCATCAAGTCAAATTAATATCAATCACAAGCAACCGATGATTTTAACTACACCTTCAGGCTTCGCTTGTGAAGGCATTGACTTGAATAGTCGGACAATATTATTCAGTAGTTTGAGAGAGTTGGACAACTTTTGTATTTTTCTTAAAAATGAAGCTGCACAGTTCTCACTGTACCTTGCACTGTTTCCACTGTTCATATCCGTAGATAATGCCTATGTGTGCGCTCCACGAGCACTTATCAAGACAAATCAGTCCCAGTCCGAAATTTCTCCACAAGCCAATGCATGCGCAGGCACACTCCCCCCCCCCCCCCCCCCCCCACACACACACACATGCACACAGGCAACTGTACCTGTTCTGGAGAAACAACTAGCGAGTCCTTGATACCAGAAGCCTTGATCGAGTTCCACATATCAGGCAGAACGTTTTCTCCTCCGATTTGATCGACGAAACTAGGGGTATGGTTGCACCTGCCAATCAAGGAATGAGAAGTGAAAGAAACAGGAGACACAAAAAACAACCACCAAGTTCTTGGACACACTGTTGCGCCAATTTTCCATGGTGTGTCTGCCGAAAGACATCTGTGAGTGAGAACACATGCACGGTTATTATCTTATTGCATTCTTACACAGAGAAGGGCAATAAAAATGCCTTGCCGAGTAACTCAATTTTTCCCAAGTTGCAGTACGACTGTCTGCTGATCATAATCCCCATGCAGCACACAGGGCAATTCAGATCACACAATCGCACATGCCCCAGAAAAATTCAACCAGAGTCGATACATCACACCAAGCGAGACTCCTGAAAATAACTTAGATAGCTGAATTAAGCATATGAACACATTTTACTGAGCACACAGTAGTCTTACTGACCACGACCAGTGCATTGTAACAACACACGCACAGACGCGTATTCATTCACACATGCACACACATGCATGCACACACATGCACACACCCCCCCCCCCCCCACACACACACAGAGTCACACACACACACACACACACACACACACACACACACACACACACACACACACACACACACACACACACACACGTGTTAGACTGCGCTTCGAGCTATTTTCACAAGCAATCAGTGCTAGGAAGACTGATGGTAGCGATGTCAGGGTAAATTTCTGTTTTGAGAATCGGGCCAATATTGTAATACCATCCGATTCCTGAAGACAAGTAGAGTATACTGGCAAAGTTTGAAGCAAATCGGAGCAATGTAGTGGACTTATTCCAGTTTAGAGTGCGCGGGGTAAGCGCCGCCATTGTCGAAAAGCACCATGCCTCACTGTACACAAGCCAGATCTCACGACGGCACAAAATCGGTCTTGACAACAGGGATCGCGGCTCATGAATAATCTTGCGCACTGTACAAAATGTACATACCGTAGCTGTACTTTTTTTTTTGTTGTTGCTGCAAACTGTTGGAGAAATTCAAGAAGACTGTTGAAGAGTAGCCGAAGTATGAGTTGTGATTTGGCCATTCTCCGAGACAAGAAGAGTTCGACAAGTAGATTATGATCCTGGTGGTGGTCCGCTTTGAACTTCATCAGTTCTAACACCAATGCATTTGAAACGTTTCCGATCATGCTAGGCAGGGGCTTATCCTGCAATAGCTGCTCCTCCTTGGGTCCAAGACTCGACAAAACATCTTCACCGCCGGTCCCTTTGCTGGACGAACACTCATGATGGCGTTGTATCCAGCAATGGAGTACCTGTCGCGAAAAATACTACAAGTCTGGTGCGCGGCGTGATACGCCGGTGAAACTTGGCAGCAAACTAAATTGGACGACGGGGAACACGATGGAACTAAAATCAAACCTGTATCAGGCAGCGCAAGAGATGAAAAAGGCGACTGAACATACGCTAACTTGTCGGCGGCCATACTCCCAGCTCCGTAGGTGCAGCGCGCCCGCACAAACGCGGATACGAAAGTTCATCTTCTATTTTCGTGGCAATAGTCACGACCAAGCTTGTCACTGACGTCTTCAGGTCACATTTGAATATGCCGCGTGCCAAGTACTGCACGCACTAGCCGCGACTGGCATTCTGCCGTACTGGCCTTTTGTGCCATCATTTCAGCTGGTTGCTAGGGAATCCAGCGACAAGCGTGGAGGTCACGTGGCATGGCACTCTGACATCGCTACTGATGGGAGACTGGTATTTCACATATTTGTGACAATAATTGAATGATCGCCCTGCAGTGCGGTAACTTTTCAAGCAAGCCAGATGTCCGGTAGATTCTACATACTCCATGGGCCACACACCGTACAATGTGCTCAAACTGTACACACAGCATCTACACTCACACCGCTACGCAATTGCATTATAGAATGGGCGTGCAGGCTTGGTGACTGACTAGCCACACATATACACTGCATGCCATTGTATTGGCAAACCAGCCGAGTATGAATTGTGCTAAACACACGTGGACATACATACAGACAAACACAGCAACCCTCTCAGCACACACACACTCACCTGCTAGGCGTGCCGGCGTTCATAGCCGTACGTAGTGGCGTCGACGACGACACTTCAGCAGCATACAACTTTGCGCTGCTGTTGACCTGCTTGAGCAGGTGGCTGACTCCGGACGAGAAACCTCCCGTGCAGAAAGGCACGACGATGGCATCCACGTCAGGTAGATCCTCCAGAATTTCCAGTGCGATGGTTGCATCGCCGGCACTGCAGGCCGTGGTGGCTGGGTGGATGAAGTGGGCTTTGTGCAACGGGCTGTCAATGGGGAACGTTGGCGGTACGGTGCGCGACTCCAGAGCAAACCACCAGGACGGGAACGGCAGGCGGTGCACCTGAGCGCCCATGTTCTCCAGCAGCTGACTGCGATAGATGTGCAAGTCTTGGGGAAGCAGGGCGGCGCAGAACGGGATGAAAGGATTGTCGTTCTTTATCATGGCCAGCGCCTGCAAGAAGAGAGTTTGGAGGCAAAGGAAAAGTTCAGCCCGCATCATGCAAGAAAGTTTTGTGAATGCTTTGCTTTGTGTTGGTAAGGTATGTATGTAGAAACATGTTCTACATGCAGTTTGTATGTCCAGTGGTAGTGTAGAACAGACACATGAACCTCCTTTGTCTGCCGGGGCATCGTCGATTGCAAGTTTACATTCATTCATGTCACGTGAATGCGGGACAGCCTGGATATCTACACCAAACTGCAACCAGGGACGTGAGCATATCACAAGGTGGACTGTGAACGTTCCATTTCAACCACGCTCCACATGACAAGTACAAACAATGATGCACTACACCTCGGGTACAACAACCACTAGCGAATAACGACACAATCATCAGACCAAGTGACCATTCCACTGCACACTTTCAATCTTACAAATAACGAGACTTTTCTGCGGCACGGCCAAGGGTCATTACAGGCAAGGTTGACTGTGCACGGTGCACCCACAAGCATGGAGTTGACGACGGTCGACACCAGCATACATGACAATACACACTGATTCCTACCTGGCCAAAGCTGCCCACGCTTGGCGTGACGATGCCTTGCTTCAGGACCTCGGGGTCCAGGCCCGCTACGTAATTAACTGCACCGCGGGTTTTGAATGTTCCGCACTTCTGCTCATTCTCCAGCTTCAGGTAGATGTCAATCTTCTTTGGTCCGCCACACTCATCGACATCCTTCATCTGTTACCATGGTTACACCAGCAGAAACAACAAGGCAGAACGAACAACACATCCTGGACTGACACGCTACCAACACATTATTCCCATACTCATTCCGTCACATAAATTATTTTCATCATTCTGTGACAACCGGCCTTCACAGCCGGTGAGAAGGCATAATATGTCTGTTGATTTTGGTGAAGTAAAATAAATATAAACAACAACGTGACAACGCACATACTTGCATTGTACTACATGTATATATTTTAATAAAATTAACAGCAAATTATCACATGCGCTCCCGGCCACGAATACGGCATGGGATAGCCTGGGCACAACATGCCCAGCACTCGTGTCCGGTGTTGCATGCCCGCTAAGGCGACTGACAGGAAGCACCTTCATGCCATGTCATGCTTATGACAGCTTAGCAGGGCCGTCCACAAACATCGATATTTTATCAGGAAAGGAATTAACTTCGTTTCAACCCAACCCCTTCCGAGTTCTCCCTCCCCCTCAGAACGTAACAAGATGTTGACAGTACACGAATACACAACTAAAGCCACAAGTGTGTCGCTGCTCGTACTTCCATATGCATGTACATGATTCTATGGACGTTTTCTGAAACGAAATAGGTCAATCCCTCCAACCCCATAACAAAATTGTTTCATTAAATGATTAATGGACGACCCCTTCAGTGGCTGTGCAATAAGAATATTCGATTCAAAGTTTATCCAAGGATGCACAGGCATACCGTACAGTTGATTCCAATGAAATCATTCAAACAAAGCACTCTGAGCTAGCACCTTGTACATGTGATATTAATTTTATGTGCTGCACAAAAATGCTCTCTCTCTTTTTTTCCTTTCTCTCTCTGTGTTGGGTTTCAGGCACTGCATGCACCATTATTATAAAATTAGTCACAGTATGTAGGGGTGCTAATTTAACTGCGCTACAGTATAATCCACACCATGCACATAGTCATTCCATGTGGCATGCAAGAAGACTCAGCAGTCACGCCAGCCATGCCACACGGTTTCATGGCTGGGAGAAACAGATGTACACGTGCTGCCTCACACTGACTAGGCGCAGTACGGAGGAAAAGAATGACGATCGACAACAGCTGCTGGTCCCTGAAATCGGCGAATCGATCAGTCGACACCACCACTTTCAAGTCACGGCAGTATACATCGTCATCGATCCTTACGTGCATGGACCAATGTTATTGTACTATAATGAATCATGATTCTGGTGAGAGAACGCTGTCCAGATGCATCGTACCGATAGTTGGTTCTCTGATTTATTTGCTTACCAAATACGTGTCCGTCTTGAGATGGACCACTCTTGTTCGCACCACGCCATTCTCCTTCAGTACTTGCTGCGCTTTCTGCACGTCCTGTAACAGGGGCAGCTCGAACGCCGGCTTGGGGCTTTGGGACGGCGGCTTGAACACATCAAATATACCAGCTCCGGCTACTCCCGGCGCAAGTGAGCTCACGTTCAGGTCCATAGTGAAAAGGAGAAATGTCTCATCCAGGCCAGCAACGATAGCAACAACTACCTTCCTGATGCCTGTGATTTTTATTTTATTGCGTGGCGCAGCAGCGTTCGTTCGGTCGCAGCACCCACTCAGTCGCTTATAGCTTCTTGCCTGAGCGTCGCGTTCTGGCTACCTCCCACTTGCAGCTTGGTGGCTCGATCGATATTCTATCACGTCAGTTCACTCAGAGACACAAACGGGCTTGGTCTGGATGGCCAGTAGGCTGGTACCAAGTAGCATTGTTGCATGGTCTCCCTCCTCTTCGCCCGAAACATCAGATGCCAGGACTGTAGTAGATGTCGTTACCGCCAGTGGCAAAGGTTGAGAGCCGTTCCACTGTGGAGCAACAGCGTCGCACGAGGGCGGTTTATTGTGAACATTGCGAGCGTCAATCAGCAGCCCGCAAGCTGAAAACGCAGTTTGTAAAACAACAACACGGGATGTCATTGCCAGGCAAACTGTCAAAAAGCGATGCTCCTCAAATCTATTTACGCACAAGTCAAAGATTATTACGCAAGAGGTGTCAGACGGCATACAATGATTGTATGTCCCCGCCACAAAGACTTTTAAAGTATGGAAGAGTATGGTAGATCTACGACTGGACCGAAAACTGCTTCCTGCGGTCCTGCTCATAATCATGATCATACTCATAGTGATACACGTACTGCTAGTACTACATGTAGTAGTAGTAGATCTACTACATGACATAGACCTGGAATAAACAACGACACATTTTGTCGTTGTTTCGTTGTTTATTGCTGCTTTGGATTTCTTTTCTACTCAGCTTTTTGCTGTGCACCTTTTCCACTTTCGTGTGTGACGTTCTTTCCAAGCCTAGGGTTTTGTTTGACTGTGAACAGTGTGAAGTGTGAGACTACGCTGTGGCCAGTGTGGGTGGGCTCGATTATGTCCGCGAATGATGTTGAATCCATTCATGGATCATGGCACTAATCGAACGCACCCAGCCAGTACAGTACTCCTACAAGGGGAGTCATGAAACTACAGTAGTTAAGGTGGCAGTCTGGGTTCAGAGGGTCAAAAAACAAAGTTTCGATTTTCTGTATTTTTTCACTGGCAGCGTCTTGTGTATGGTCCAAAGGGTTTATCCTGAAAATTTGAGCGTAATCGGGTGCTTCCTTCCGGAGATATAGCCGCGCAAAGTCTGCACAATTGTTTTTGAAATACTGAAATATCAGCAAATTTCTACAAAATTTAGGTTTGCACACTATTCCGATTTTTACCGTCAATCTTTGAGCGATTTCATTAAAATTTTCTGGAGCGACTCCTGGTACTCCTCTGCGCTGCAGACTGACAGCCGCGCACGATGTTTGTCACCATGGCAACCAAGATAACTTTTGCGCATGCGCAAATTCAAAAAAATTCAAATTTTGACTCTCATGATCTCAGCTGATCGCTCTGCTGTTGAAACTAGTTACTTTTGGAGTAATTGTTTTGGAGTAATTGTTTCTTGGAGCTAACCCCTTCGTTGGCTACTATGGGGAAGTCTAGAGCCAAGGGAAAGCCCGGACGATCTAAGAAAAGGAAAAGAACGTTCTATGGAGTGTCTCAGGCGCCGAAGGCTCCCTCTGGTGAAATTTCGCCTGCAGAACAAATTCCTGACTTGCCACTGTCTGATGACGACCTTGAAGTGCCAGCTGAAGCCACGTCTTCAAACAGCGATAGTGATGGAAGTGGCGGTGAAGTCGACAGCAGTTCCTCCGACAGTGACTTGGATGAAGAGTGTGAGGAAGGGGCGCATGGATTTCGCCTGATTGATCTCGAGTGCCTTCAGCAGCTTTTGTCAGCTGCAGTTTGTTGCAGTGGCTGTAATGGCGCAGTCACGATCAGCGAATCGCAACGGGGAGGCCTTGCATCATGCCTGGAGCTTTCCTGTGTTAACTGCGGCGACATAGCAAGCGAATTTATGTCCAAGAAGTTCAATCGGGTCTGGGAGGTGAACAGACGAGCAGTATTCGGAATGCGACTGATTGGCCGTGGACGTCAATCAATGGTAAAGCTGGCGGGTGCACTGAATATGCCATCACCTATGAGTCGGTCGACATTTTACAGCCATGCTAAAGGCCTGCATTCCGCGTCCAAGAGCGTCGCTGAGCGTAGCATGACTGAGGCAGCTGAGAAAGCAGTGTCCGCAGCAGATGGGGGTAGCGATATCGCTGCTTCCTATGACGGTACCTGGATGCGCCGAGGATTCGCATCGCTCTTCGGAGCCTTCACTATAATTGCATATGATGTCGGCAAAGTGGTGGACTGCGAAGTGCTTTCAAAGTTTTGCCACAAGTGCACGCACTTGGCGTCTAGAAAAGAGAAGGGAGAGCTAACCAAAGATGACTATGATCGACAGATTGCCGAACACGATTGCTCAGTCAACACCACTGTATCAGCTCCTGCCATGGAGAGTGCAGCCGCCAAGACTCTGTGGGCCAGGTCCTTTGAGAGCCGCAAGCTGAGGTACACCACCTACATTGGTGATGGAGATACCAAGAGTTTTAAGGCTGTGCGTGACGCTTGTCCGTATGGGCCCGAGGTGCCTGTAGTCAAGGAGGAATGTGTCGGCCACGTTCAAAAACGCATCGGTACCAGCCTAAGAAAGCTGAAGAAAAACCTTGCGGGCAAGAAGCTTGCTGATGGGCGCACTATAGGCGGACGTGGTCGCCTCACGGATGCCATGATCGACAAGCTGCAAGCCTACTATGGCATGGCTGTGCGGAACAACAGCGGAGACTTGCAAGCCATGGCCAGGGCCATATGGGCATCCCTCATGCATCGTGCATCCAGCGACAGTAAACCTCAGCACCAGTATTGTCCGCCTGGAATTAACAGCTGGTGTAGATGGCAGCAGCAACAGGCAGGTGGTGATGTCTACGCCCACCACAATATCCTGCCAGAGGCAGTATGGAAGGAACTGAAGCCGGTCTACATTCGGTTGTCCGACCGGAGTTTGCTCGAGCGCTGCCAGAAGGGTGCTACGCAGAATCGCAACGAAGCGTTCAATGGACTCGTGTGGCAGTTGTGTCCAAAGACAGGCTTTGCATCCGCTCCCACTGTCCAGATGTGCGTCTACCTGGCCGTGGCCTGGTTCAATGATGGAGGTGTGGCAGTGAAACGCGTTCTGGACGAGATGGGCCTCCCTACTGGACACCATACGACACGTCTCATCAAGCTGCTAGACCGTGAGAGACAGGCACATGCTGCCAGAAAGAAGTCAGAAGAAGGGAAGAGGTCACGAAAGAAGCGAAGGAGGATCAGGAAGGGCATCCAGGATGAGCAGCAAGAGGAAGAAGGTTTGACATATGAAGCTGGTGGCTTCGACTAAGTTCTAGTAAGTTCTAGTTGGACAGACATACCTCCATCTGTACTTGCACAGAGCACTTTTTTCTCCATTTTCCACTGAGTCCCGTACCTCTTAGACAGCGTAGCGAAGAACCTGTAAGTCACAGACCCCATAAACCATACATTTTTGGAAACTGTGAGCATTTATCAAGGTGCTAAGTGTCATGGATTTTTATATTTGTCTAGTAGCTTTGAGTAAAGTGCTACTGATCGAGGACCTAAATTTTGCGCGATTGCATGATTTTTGTTTGACAGCTTGAGTACTTTGTTCTGAATATGATTTCAAAATTCCGCTCCACTTAGCACCTAGGTATATGTGAAGGAAATCCTGTGGAGCACTCAGTTTCTACCCAGCTTCTTTCTGCGTTTGCATATTGCGTCTAAGGTATTGGTGGTACGGCATAATCGCAGATTTGACTATTGTGTCTGCGGATTCCCATGTGTGAGCTTGATTTATACTTCATTGGACTTAGTGAAATACACTGGGTATGTGGTCAAGATTTGAGCAAAATTCATCAATTATTATGGAAGTTACGGCTGTGTTCATGCGGTCGGGCCGCGAACCCAGACTGCCACCTTAACTGTTACTTCAATACATGTACTACTAATTTTTCTAAATTTTGAAGGACGCTTCACGCAGCTTCATTATACTTGAATTGTTTGCAGGCAACCTGCCTACACTCAAGAGAGCACTGCATTTCACACAAATCCATTGGTATCGTTACAACGTTTCGGTCTTTATGACCATCATCTTTATGACCATCCTGATGATGGTCATAAAGACCGAAACGTTGTAACGATACCAATGGATTTGTGTGAAATGCAGTGCTCTCTTGAGTGTAGGCAGGTTGCCTGCAAACAATTCAACTACTAATTTTACTACTGTAAAAGCCATATATAATATATATATAACGAAGTGCTAACTCTAACGAGTTAACGAGGAGAAATCTGTCGTTAAAATAGAAATCGTTATACAGAAATCGATACATAAGTATATGTTATCGCATGGTTGCAAGGGCCTAAGGCCCTCATCAGACTACGTACATAGAAAATCCAGTACAAAATCACATAAAACCTAAAAGGCAACATTTTTCCATGCCTGCATTCAGACTACACATTTTACATGCAATATACAGGCAACCTTTGACCCTACGAAATTGCGCAATGGGCCTGGGATGTGTGAAAGCAGCGGACAGTCGTACCCGGGTACAAAGTTCGTACAACTGCCTGGTGAAAGTACGATAAATGCAGGAAAGTTGCCTTGTACAAGGGTTCGCACCCTGCCTGAAAGGATTGGGCAGCTTTTTAGGCTTCCCGCCAGATTCTTGTTGTTGTCTTGGAAACTTCTATGTAAATGTGACTTATAGGCTGTTTTGTACCTAGTCTGAAGAGGGCCTTATGGCATATTATTGCCCCGAGAGGTTAGCCCGAGGGCCGTAGGCCCGAGGGTTAACCTCGAGGGGCAATAATATGCCATAAGGCCCGCAGCAACCATGCGATAACAAATTTATCACATGGCCCACAGAGCAGACCATTGGGCTGCTGTTGAAATTAGCCCAAATGCCAACACATTATGACCACAATGTATATAGATGTGCTATCATTATCAAAACAGGAAAAATGAAGATATTTCTCCTACACCCTAACAAAAAGTCTGCTACAGGCCATCAGAGAGTATACAGTACTGAAAGACGGAGACAGAAAAAAGTGCCGGCACCGCATCGTCATAGCAATAGACATGTCAACGACAATAAAATACAGCAGAATCATAATTTCAGTTGAAAAATTAAGAGTGCTACCACAAAGAGTTTCTTCATGTTTACATGTGTATCAGGAAGTTGTCAAATACAGTACTGGAACAAGTGCAAGTATTTGACGACTCCCTGGTGTGTAATTCTGAGGACAATTTTTCTTCTTTTTTTCAGCTCCAGATAGCTGTATTTTTCATTGCAAAACATTCCTGAATTGTTGTGTTTGTTGTTCAAGCAAAGGTGAAGGCAGAGGACAGATGAGCCTGGTAAGAGTTTTGCGTGGCACATGAAGGCCACACACAGGCAGTGACTTTGCGAGGATTTGAAAACGCACGACGCTGAGTTGAATTTGTGTTA